TTCTATTATTATGGTTTGGTGAGGTGAATTCTATAGAGTAGATTCCATACTGTTGTGTTATGTTGCATATATCTTTTAAGTAGTGATCTATGATTTGTCTTTTGATTTTTACATCTGGGAACTCTGTTTTACATGGACTGATTCCGGGTTCAAATAAATTTACGAGTAAATTTTGACAAAATATGTGTTGTCCTCTATCAGTATCTGCATCTACTATAAAAGGAAAGATTTCATCATCATCTGGAGTTTCGTCACCTGGGGTGTGCGTTGAACTCATTTTTTCGTTCGATGACTGTTAATATGTAATTATTAATGTGTCGAATTGGTTGATTCCAATTGTATAGATGTACTGGTTTGTGTTTATACTGCTTTTTTATTCTTCTTTTTCCTCTTTGTGATGAATTTGAAGTTGTTTCTGAGTCAGAAAAATATAATTGATCGTGTTGTGGGCAATTTTTATCTATTGATTCTTTTAGTTTGTAAAGTTCGTCTAAACTGTTGGTTTCTGATTCTGAAAATGCGTTTCGATTTTTTGAAAATCTTTTTCGTGTTATTTGTCTTTGTTTAGTTATTATTTTTCTCTTTAGTGTTTGTCGTTTTGTTCGAATGTATCCAATTGTTTGTGTATGAGGTGTGATTACAAGGTCGTATTTTTTGTTATCTATTTCACAATTGTGTAAAATGATTGTTTGTTTATTTCCTAGGTTTTTAAATGACATAAGGTTTAGAATGACGGATGCAAAAGGTTGTTAAATGATTTCTATTGACTTAAACTGTTAGTTCTTACGATTTTTTGGTTAGCTTAACCTGGGTCTAGTTGTTCAGGGTTGGAGAGAAAAGTATATCGATTCCGAAGAATGATTTTTACTTTCTCGTGACTAGTATAAGCTAAGGTGTTAACTTACTTAATCTTACTTAGGGGTAGTGATTGTGTTCAAGGGTTGGAGAATAGTAAATCGATCCACAAGGTTCAGGTATAATTAGAACGCGAGTAGTTCGTTAGATACTATTTTAAACTTACTAAGTCTAAGATTTATCCTGGGTCTGGTAAGAGGAGGGGTCAAGTGAAGGATGAATAACCGAAGTTCTTCACTGTTTATCCTAATTTGAATGATTAGTTTTGTTTAAAAATTTCTATTAGTCTTGGGTTTTTAGAAAGGGTTGGGTAGTGAATCGACGTTTGAGGTCGTTAGACACTAATTAAGTGGGTGGGGGAGAACAAAGTTGTTCTATTTGATCCAAGGATAAGCCTTGATGATCAAATTTAAAATTTAATTAAGTAGAAAATGATTTAAGATCCAAGGATAAGCCTTGATGATCTGATTTTAAATTAAGTGACTTTAAATTTTAATAAAGTTTTAAATTTGTGTAAAGGAAAGATTTAGTGTTTTGATGATATTAGTGGGTGTATGATTGCTGTTATGTTTTAGGTGATGAAGCTGGAACAACAGGATGATTTATGATTACTGACCATTTATTGTCATGCTACTAATTTTTATTTTTATTTTCCAATAAATATTCTTCAAACATGTTTTGTATAATACTGCAGAATTTTAGGAAAACGATCTTAGATCTTTTTAATAATCGTTATTGTATAATATTAATTTGTTTAGCGCCTGAAATGATTTTGAAGATTTACTTCAAGGTTTTATGTTTGCAAATGGAAATCTAAATTCATTGCATATAAAAGTTTGTTCTGGCTTTTGCCGAACTATCATATAACTATACGGCAAGTTTCTACTTTGTCGTATGTCGTCTTTGGTTCGATGTCTTCTTCCAATTCCGGGTAGTTCTATTATGGTTCGGAATATTGGCTCTGATCTATTGAGTCGGAGAGACATTTCAATTAAATTATTGTCGTATAACATTTTGTAAATGTTTTTGTCTAATTTCTAATCTAATTTTGGTTAATTCTAATCTAGTAAGGTCTTGTTCGAGACTTATGGTCGCACCAGATGAGTTATGACTGGGGTGTATAACTCATAGAGTAATTTCGGATAGGGTACACCGTCTGCTCGTCACGCTATCTTATTTTCGGCCGGATAGATTCGTGCAACTTCTTAGTCTAATACCGATCCTAATCTTACTCTTATACTATCTAGTCTCAGGTTGTTTAACTAGTCTCTGCTAGGCTCAATAGATCTAGGGTATACTGGTTTATTGCGGCTGCTGAAGTGCTCGGGAGAGTCCAACTAATTTCTAAGTTAAATTCAAATCTCTCTGGTGCTGAAATTACAAGTAACTTCAGCACTTACAAATAAGTGGGTTGTTAGTTAGATGGATCATGATTGGTTAATATTAAATACTTTACATTGGTAAAACATTTAATTTATCCAATCATAAAATATAGTTTAGATCAGGTTCCAGTAGACTTAACTATACTCTAAATAAATTTTTGTACACATATTGCTTTTTATAAATTATTGTACAAAATATTGTACAAAATAAAAATACCAGAATTATAAAATAATTATAAGAATGGTTTCTAATAAGGATAGCCGGTTGCTGAGCATGTAGCACTAAATTTTCCGACAACATTCATAAATTTTCCGATCGCATTCGTTTATATTGCGAGCTAGTTTTTTTTAGTGAAGTTTAGTTTTCATAGCCTATAAGCCTAAAAAAAATAAGCCTATATTTTATAAATAAAATAAGCCTATAAGCCTAAATTTTCATATAACGAAGGTTACTCGATCGCTTTACTCGCTAGTATTTGAACTCAAAAACATTGAAATGATTTTTCTAGACACTGAAACAACTTTTTGAAAATTTGAATTTTTTGAATGCTCGAGTTATGACTGGAAGAGATCGAATTGGGTATATCAGTCCACTCAATCCGATGACTATTTCTGGTACCTGATATTTCGTGGAAAAATACCAAAACCTACACGGACATAAAAACCCTCCCCATTTTCAATGGTCGGAACAAAAATGGGATGCAGATGAATCTGAATGCAGATCATGACGCGCGATAAAAAAGCGCCCCTCCCATCACGTTCTTTTCCAATACAAAACTCCCCTCCCCCTTTGTATTTCAAATAGGTGCAAAATTTCCTCCACACCCATTTTTTTACATAACAAAAAACGCAAAATTGATACCAATTAGCAACCAGTCAAAAAGTTGAAATGATTTCTGAGATGGTTTGGCTTAATTGGCTACCGACGCTACGCCTTAATAGCATATTGGAAACGTCACACAAGCTAATGCACCCAAACTTTACAAAAAATTGTCGCAGTGGAATAATTTAATGCATTTTGAGCTCAGGACAATGAAATTTTACAGTTTATAGATTGTACAAAAAAAAATTTGTCAGTAGAAATTGTAAATCAAAATTGTTGCAAAACAACAACTGGATCGCAAATGTTCCCTTTTTTCTTCGAAAGTCAAAGCACATATGTAAACTACAAAAAAGGCAGCAAAAAATCTAAAGGTAGTTTTGAAGAATTGGTTGAAAATTGTTCGCATCTGTTCTCCAAAGCGGTTATAAAAAACAGGTGGACCCTTTTTGTCGTATCGAGTATCTGATTTATTTCGTGTTTATGATCTTGGTCTCGTTAAGGCTTAACTACTTTTCGATTTTTTTTGAAAACATGGACTGTTTACTCAAACACTGCAAACCAATCTTCAATCGATTACGGCCCTTCCAAGTTTTTGCTATAATAAATTGTTTATCAAATTTTTTCGCTTTGAAAGGGTTGCGCATACAAAGCAGGTGCTATGTTTTCAGCAGACCAATCTTTTAGCAAAATCGTAATATTTAACAAATCAGAATTTCTACTTAATTTGAAACGCGTTATTAGTAGGAAGCAATCGCTTGCACCGCTTCGCTATGATGGGCTTACATTCAAATTGAATGGTATTGGGAGTAACAATCACTGTTTTCCCCAAGCTTAAATCATTCTGATTTTTAAAATGATAAAGTTTAGTTGCCAAATCATTCGATAGTTTTCGCAATCAATGAAACTTAACTTGAGAGTAAGCGTCTTCTCGTGTCTGTCAATTGGTTAAACTTAAGTTGCATTATGTTCGTCGGCTACAATAGCAAGTTTTAATTTTTACGCTAAAAAACTAGTCTGCTAAAACACAAGAAAACGGTCCACAATCTAGATGCACGATTTGTCCAAAAAATTAGTTTAGCGTGAAAAAACTTCCCAAAAAGGTCAATTTTTTTTTACTTTAATTTATTTAATTATTCACAAAACTCAATAACAGTAGTAGACTCAGTGGGTCCTCTTAAGTGCTGTTTTAGGACTTCGAGATTTTTGGTTGACTAACCCTAAAACTGTAATTTTGAGGGGGGTGGAGCCTTCGGTTTCTGCTCAAACCTGTCCAAAAATCACCTACAAATTTTGGTTTTGACCAGTTTTTTTATATGGGCCAGCGGCGTATACAGTTTTTCAAAATAAGGTCATTGTATTGTAGTGTTTTGGAAGAGCTCGGAAATTCAATTTGGCAAACCTTGAAGAAAAGGCGCGAAAATTTTGCCATGTTTTTGAAAAAAATTGCCCCTCCTTTAAAAAAAACTGACGTCTGTACATGCTCAAAAGTGGAACAAATTGAACAAATTGTATAAGTCAACAAATGTACTTGAAAACAGCAAATAGGTTTCTGAAGAAACAGACAAGAAGGAGTCGAATCTTGAATCCCCGTCCCCTTGATATCCAGTCGCCGCCCACCTCTCCCACCGAAATTTAACTCCTTCAACAAGTACGGTCCGTCCTATTAAATTCATTTTACATCTGTTTTAGCAGACTTAGAAAAAAATTAGCTAAAGCACCTTAGAAACCTTAACAAAAATAAACCTTCCGACAGTTTCTGAAAAAATTTTGTCCACGGCACAGAAATTAATGCCGAAATAAGGCTTTTTAGAGTTTATGAGAGAATTCAGACAATAAATTTCGTCAAACAAAAAAAAATCAAAAGAACAATGTTTTTTTGATTCTACTAAAATCTCAATGATTCTACTAAAATCTTGGATCAAGTTGGAATTGGTTTTCAGGAACTGCTGGATCTAGGAAGAGACCCACCGGCACAATGTTCCGCCGGACCAGTGGAGGAAAGCGACATGTTCAAATGGCAGGCCACGATCATGGGCCCCAGTGAGAGTCCATACCAAGGGGGCGTCTTCTTCCTGTCCATACAATTTCCTCAAGACTACCCTTTCAAACCACCAAAGGTTTGCAACTTATTCTTTCAACTTCTTTTTTCTTTTTTTTTAATATAATTTTTTTAAATATAATTAAATAATTGCATAAAACCTGACAAGTTTTTTTGCAGTTTACATTAAATTGCTGGCAGTATCCTTTTTTCAACGAGCCTGAAAACATTTCTTTAAATAGTTGTTAATATGTTTTTTAAAATAGGTAACGCATTTCAACATTTAAGCCGAATGTCAAACAAATATAATCAGAAAAAAACGGATTCGGATTAAATTTAAGTAATCAAGGTGACAATTTGGCATTGAAAATAAACGAAAATAAAACACATGATATTTTTCCGGATAAGAAATTCTATTGAGAACGATACTTTCAGATCGTCCGATCGTGTATTTGATCCAGAACTATGGTAATGTGCGAGGACGAACTCTCACTTCGAATTTAGTTTCAGGTCTACCACAGACGGAATAAGCAAAAGCGATCCATGACAGCCTTTGGCTGCACTAGTATTATCACTTTAATATTTAAGACGGCCTTGAGTGCAAAAAAGCGCTCTGCTCTTTAATATTACTCAGTCCGGAAAGTGTCTAATTTGTAGAAACGGACTATGCTTAGACAGGCCTAATATCTTTTGATGGATCTTCTGTGTATTGCAGAAACCTAATTTAGTATCACTAGGGCATGAATCGCACCTCAAATAGATCGTTGAACGTGAAAAAGCTTCCAAAAACATGCCAAAAACCTTTACTAAAACGGCGACATTTAATGCAACCGTGAAGATAACTGGACACATCTATCAGGGGTTTCTTTTTCATTAAAAAAACAGAAACGCCATATCTCAAAAACCAAAATGATTTGAGCAGATAATAGTAGAGGGCAGATTTTGTACCTTTTTTTCTGTCAGCATCCTAACATAGGATTAAGAATTTCAACTTCTGATACTTGTTTGGAAAAGTATTGAAAAAATCATGAGAAACGCCATATCTCGAGAACAAGAAAGAATTGAGCAGTAAAAGATACAGGCCAGATTTGTATCTTGAAAGTACTCCCTGAATGTATCCTGACAGAACCCAGTCAAAAGAGTTGAGAGTTTCAAGATCGTTTAGTTTATTAATTCAAAAATCATCAAAACGCCAATCTCTTGAGCCAAATTGATTTGATCAGTCATATGTAAAGGGCAGATTTGCAAAGCCAATTTGTAACTGACAGTACCCGCCTTAAATTTGAGAATCTGACATTCTGTTGAATTTTTGATATCTATTTTTTTTGAAAAAAAAAAAGAAAAAATCATGAAAAACGCCATATCTCGACGACCAAAAAGATTTCAGCTGTCAAACTTGGGCGTCAGCAATCCCTAAGTGTACCCTGACAGAACCTAGTTATAGGTTAAGATTTTCAAATTCGCTTACTTTTTTTCAAATCTAATTTTTTTGAGAAAAAAAACTGAAAAAATTATACGAAATGCCATATCTCGAAGACAAAAAAAATGAGCATTCATACTTGGTCGTCATATTTGCAACTCCAGAGTGTACCCTAAGAGAACTCTACTATGGGTTTGAGATATTCAAGTTCGCCTAGTTTTATTATATCTAAGTTTTTCGAAAAAAAATGAAAAGATTATAAAATACGCCATACCTCGAAAACCAGATGGATTTAAGCAGTCATATTTCGATGCCGGATTTGCAACTCCTTACTATTCTCTGATAGCACTCCACAGTAATGTCAAGTCTAACCTTGCTTTTTAAACAAAAGTTTGAGCATAGCTTCTATGAAGAGAAATTTCAGAGCGATATTTATCAAAATATCACGGCGACACCAGCTGAGCAGCGAAGTTTCATAAAATTGGTTCTTCGATTTACTCTTAACTTTAGTTTTGGCAGCGTTATTTTCAGAGAACAAAAAAGTTTGCAAAGAACCGTCAGAATTTCAAAAATTGACATTCTCTTAGTCTCTAACTCTTTTTCTGCTATAATTAGGCCACAGCAGCTTACATCTTTTTCTTTAGTTTGAACCCCTAATCTAAAGACTTGGCGACGAAGTTTTTCAGATAATTGAAAACATTTTCAAAAACACGGTCAGCATTTCGAAACAAAGGCGTTTACTAAATTTAACAAATTTGATTTTTTTTCGAGGGTCATAGTTTTTGTTTAAAAAATTTGGGTATAACCGCTGATACAGGTGCGCTTGACAAAACCCGTAGTACCCATTGAAACCAGAAACTTAGATTTTGAAGGATAGCATACGAGAAAAACAAAAACTTTCAAAAACCGGTCAAAAAATCTATAAATTGATTCATCCGATTATCAGAGCTGGTTGTTTAAAAAACTTTGGGCGTAACTGCTCATGCAAGGCAATTCCCACAACTTGATCTGTTCATTGAACCCTTAATCTCAGACTTGGCAACGCATTTTTCGCGAAAACTAAAATTATTTCCAAAAACATGGTCAGCAATTCGAAACATGAGCGTTTACTAAATACAAGATTGCTTGTCTACAAAACCTAGGACGTAACCGCTATGCAAAAGAACTTCTTAGCACTTGTTCTTCGCAAAAACTTAGAGTTTGTACGTTTTTAAGGAAATAAATTTTTGATCAAAAAATTGGGGCACCACCAGTTGAACAGCAAAGATTCGAAAAATTTGTTCATCGATTAAACTCTTAACCTCAGTTTTGGCAGAGTAGTTTTCGAAAAATTGTAAATTTGAGGCGTAGCATCTTAAGCACGGAGGCGTTCCGCGACCTGTTGCGCCGATTAAAACCTGACATCAGATTGAGTTGTTTTCGAGAAGTAAAAAAGTGTCAAAAACGGACAAAAAACCTAAACGTTAACATTTTCCGAGGGTCATAACTTCTTGTGTAAAAAATTTGGCGTAACAGTTTATGCAAAGTAGCTTCTGCCAACTCATTCTACCCATTTAAACCAATATCTCAGATGCGGCAGTGTTTTTTTTGGCGAAAGTCAGAAAGTTTCAAAAAACGGTCAAAATTTCAAAAAATTGATTTTTTGAGGGCCATGACTTTTCGTGTAAAAAAAACTGGGTATAACTGCTGATGCAGGTGCGCTTACCCGTTCTACCCATTGAAAACAAAAACTCAGATTTTGGAGGGTAGTATCCGAGAAAAACTTTGGGCGTAGCCGCTTATGCAACGGAATTCCCACATGTTATTTCCGTTGAACTCAAAATTTCAAATTTGGGCGGGTAGTTTGCTGAAAAAAAAATGAAAAATGCAATTTGTGAAAATCAGTATGAAATTCCCGAAACAAAACTAGAAGCCCAGCTAAAACTGGTGGTACATGTTTGGCAACTTTTGAATTTGTACTGATGCTGAATGAAGTAGGTAATTTCAAAAACTTAAGAATTGGGCTTCCCCAAAACCTTAGTTGTTGTTCTATCAAAAATTGAGTGAAAAATAATGTAAATTGGGAGTTTTACTAGAAAATTTTGTTCAAATTTCGAGGCGTAACATCTTGCTCACGGAAGCTTTTCACAAACAGTTGCCTCGATAATACCCTAAAATTAGATTGAGTTGTTTTCGAGAAGTCAAACAGTTTCAAAAAACGGACAAGAAATCAAAACTTTGACTATTCTGAGGGTCATAACTTCTTGTGTAAAAAATTTGGCGTAACTGTTTCTGCAGGGTAGCTTCTGTCAACTCATTTTACCCATTTAAACCAATATCTCAGATGCGGTAGTGTTGTTATTGTGAAAATCAGAAAGTTTCAAAAAACGGTCAAAATTTCGAAAATTTGATTTTTTGATGTCCATGATTTTTTGTGCAAAAAAATTTGGGTATAACTGCTGATGCAGGTGCGCTGACCCGTTCTACCCATTGAAAACAAAAACTTAGATTTTGGAGGGTAGTATCCGAGAAAAACAACAAGTATCAAAAAACGGTAAAAAATTCGATAATTTGACCTCTCCGATTATCATAACTTGTTTAGAAAAACTTTGGTCGTATCAGCTTATGCAACGGAATTCCATGTTAAATCCGTTGAACCCGAGTTTCAAATTTGGGCGGGTAGTTTGCTGAAAAAAAAATGAAAAATGCAATTTGTGAAAATCAGTATGAAATTCCCGAAACAAAACTAGAAGCCCAGCTAAAACTGGTGGTACATGTTTGGCAACTTTTGAATTTGTACTGATGCTGAATGAAGTAGGTAATTTCAAAAACTTAAGAATTGGGCTTCCCCAAAACCTTAGTTGTTGTTCTATCAAAAATTGAGTGAAAAATAATGTAAATTGGGAGTTTTACTAGAAAATTTTGTTCAAATTTCGAGGCGTAACATCTTGCTCACGGAAGCTTTTCACAAACAGTTGCCTCGATAATACCCTAAAATTAGATTGAGTTGTTTTCGAGAAGTCAAACAGTTTCAAAAAACGGACAAGAAATCAAAACTTTGACTATTCTGAGGGTCATAACTTCTTGTGTAAAAAATTTGGCGTAACTGTTTCTGCAGGGTAGCTTCTGTCAACTCATTTTACCCATTTAAACCAATATCTCAGATGCGGTAGTGTTGTTATTGTGAAAATCAGAAAGTTTCAAAAAACGGTCAAAATTTCGAAAATTTGATTTTTTGATGTCCATGATTTTTTGTGCAAAAAAATTTGGGTATAACTGCTGATGCAGGTGCGCTGACCCGTTCTACCCATTGAAAACAAAAACTTAGATTTTGGAGGGTAGTATCCGAGAAAAACAACAAGTATCAAAAAACGGTAAAAAATTCGATAATTTGACCTCTCCGATTATCATAACTTGTTTAGAAAAACTTTGGTCGTATCAGCTTATGCAACGGAATTCCATGTTAAATCCGTTGAACCCGAGTTTCAAATTTGGGCGGGTAGTTTTCTAGAAAAAATCAGAAATCTTAAAATATAGGGCAAAAATCGCCTCCTCCCCCCACTCAACATTTAAAAAGTGGGGTAAGGTAAAGAGAACCCAAAGATATTTACGCAGGCACACAGGGGAGTTGGCGGACTTCCTATCGGTACATTTTGTTTGAAAACCGGAAGAGTAGTATTTGGGAAAAATTAAATTTTTGAAAAAGAGAAAACGTTTTGCAAAGCATCTTAAAAAAAACCTGTTTGACAATTTTCGAATTTGTACTGATGCGGGAAAAATTTAAAAATTGGGCTTCTCTAAAACCTTAGTTGTTGTTCTTTAAAAAAATAATGAAACATTATGCAAATTTGGCGCTTTACCGGAATCTTTTTTGTTCAATTTTTGAGGCGTAGAACCCTACGCACGGAGGCTTCTCACAAACTGTTGCCTCGATTGAACCCTGATATCAGATTGAGTTGTTTTCGACAAAATGAAAAAAATTCAAATTTTTTTCGAGGGCCAATAATTTTTGTGCATGAACATCTGGGCTTAGCCGCATATGCAGAGGAGCTTCAAACAAAAGGAATGATGACATTTATTTTCTGCTGCCCAGTAGAAAAAACCTCGAAAAAATCAGATAGGACATCTGCAGGTTACGTTACTGATTAATGAATGTCACTCACAAATTTTGGTTTTTCACCCGTCAAACAGAGCACAGAACAATTGGAAGTAATGGAGTTTGTGAAAAATTTAGCCTTGTGAACACTTATGCTGGGTAATTGCCACAAATCTTTCTACCAATTGAAACCAAAATCTCAGATTTGGAAGGATAGTTTTCAAGAAAAGACAAAAAAATTTCGAAAAAACGGCTAGAAAATTATAAAATTTGACCTTTTCAGAGTCATAATTTGTTAAGTAAAAAAATTTGGGCGTAACTGCTTATGCAGAGGACTTCCCTTAAGTCGTTCTACCCGTTGAAACCGAAGTCTCACAGTCGGAAGAGTAGTTTTCGAAAGAAGTTTCAAAATACGACTTTCTGAGGGTCATTACTTATTGGGTTAAAAAATTTGGTCGTAACTGCCTGTGAAGGGTAATTCCCACAACTCGTTCTAACCATTGAAACTAAAATCTCAGTTTTGGAATGGTAGTTTTCGAAAGTTTTAAAAAATGGTCAACAAACAGAAAACTTGATTTTTCGAGGGTCGTAACTTGTTGTGTAAAAAACTTGGCCGTAACCGCTTACGCTGCCGACTTCGTACAACTCGTTGTATCCAGTGAAACTAATATCCAGATTTTGAAAAGAGTTTTCGAGAGAAGTCAAAAATTTTCAAAAAAATGGTAATAAATTGAAAACTTGACTTTTCGAGGGTCGTCTACACAATGAAACCAATATCTCAGATTCGGGAGGGTGGTTTTTGAGAAAAGTCAAAAAGCTTTAAAAATTTTGTTTTTGCGAGGGTCATAACTTTTTGTGTAGGAAAATTTGGACGCAACCGCCCAAGCAGGGGAGCTAACCAAAACTCGTTCTACACATTGAAACCAATACCTCAGATTTGGGAGGATAGTTTTCGAGAAAAGTCAAAATGTTTGAAAAATAGGTCAAAAAATCAAAAGTTTGACTTTTCTGAGGGCATTAAGTATTTGTGTTAAGCTTTAGTCACTAATGCAAGGGAGCTTCCAACAGTCTGTTTTATCCAATGAACCTAAAATCTCAGATTGGTGAGGGTAGTTTTGAGAAAATGTAGAAAATCCAAAAATATGGGTCAAAATTTCACTCCCACACACTTTTTCGAAGGCTGTAAAAAGTGGTGCAAAGTAAAAAGAGCTGAAAATGTTACGCATGCACACAGGGGAGTTAGCGGACTTCTTCTTGGTGTATTTTTTTCTCAAAACTTGTAGAGTAGTATTTGAGAAAAACTAAATTTTTAAAAAAGAGAAAACGTTTGCCGAAGCCTCCCAAAAAATAAATTAAAAACCCGACCCCAATAACTTTTTCATAAAACCTGTTTTTTATGAAACAGGAATTCAATATTTGGCGAGAAGAGCAAAAATTTTCCTTGCGTCTCTAAAAATTTTTAAAGCTAGAACAAAATCCCATACATTTCATATCACCTTTTATATCAAACATGAACTAGCCACCAATAAACCAGATACAAAAATATAATGCTATCGAGCAAAAGTTAACAATATAAGAAAAGCAAAGGTGCCACCAACAAATGAGCACTCATATTTGTGACTTAGGCAGCAACAATTCATGAAGGAACATATTAGACACTCCCATTGACGTCTCAAGCAAATATTTTAATCTTCCACCAACAAGACAGCTGCGTTCCAACACCAAAAAGTTTCGCAATTTTTCTAATGAAAATTTCTGTACTCTAAAACTAGGTATTATTTTCGCTCAGATTGTTTGAAAAACTTTGCATGCGACATTTAAGCAAAAAAATTGCAGAAGTTACTTCAACTATAATTTGATCCGTTCATAATTTCATATGGTACTTATTGGAAATGCTCAAGTTTAGAGGGCTTAATCGAAAATAACATAAAAATTTCATATTCCATTGGCCTAAGTTTAAGTTTATGTCTTAAGGCTTGTATCTCGATTTCGCTCTCTAATTAACATAAAAAAGTGACATCAGATTTCAGCATAGTCATACCGTGTAATACTTCAGTTTTTTTGTTAGATTACTTTCCAGACTAGAATCTACCATCCGAACATTAACTCCAATGGATCTATCTGTCTTGACATCCTCAGAAGCCAGTGGTCGCCAGCACTCACAATAGCAAAAGGTACAATATTTTGGTGGTATACACCAGCCGAAATATAAACCAGCTACCATACAAACAAGCCAAAAAATACGTAATTATTTTACATTAGTTAAGCCACGTATTATGTGAAAATCATGCAAGTCACATTGATATGACGTCAGGGCCGGATTTAGGTAGGCGGTGGGGCGACGCCTCCCTTCAGGAATTCGACCCCCTCACCAAGTTAAGGGTATCCGTGTGGTATTGTTCTATGACATCCATTTTGGCCGACCAACCCTAAAGATTTTCTAAAGGTGCCTTTGGTGCCAATATCTACTAACTTTGAAGAGGAGTTCCGCCGAAAAAAGCAATCGACGATGAAATCCTCGATCGGCCTCTGTGCATTTTCCGACTCTGCGCATTTTCGGCTGGTTTATACTTCGGCTGATGGCTCTTTTTTGTTGTGCGACCCCAAATCACCAAAGTCTTTGAATGAGCTAATATGTTTGAAATTAAGTTTCATTATCGAGAAAAGCTGGTTTAAAATTTTGCTATTTATGCTTAACTTAAGCCCTGAAAACATAGTTTTGAGCAAGTAAAATTTGTTTTTGAAGTTTTTTAGCGCCAATTTGAGAATCAAAAACTTCAAAAAAAAATTGCAAAAAAATGTCAAGTTGTTTTGCAGAAAATTTATTGAGTTTTTTTGTTCTTCTTGTCATAGTTCTACATTCAATTTTGTCCAATTTGCCTGTATTATTATGACTGTCAAATATGCCTAAATTATAGTTTTGCGTCTGATTTGTTTTATCACACCACGCAGAAAAAAAAACATTAATTTGAAAAAAAAAATTGTGTTTTAGTTTTTTAAAGAGTATGGTCGGAATATTCTGTGGTACTTGCACAGTAACCGGCTATCCTTGTTTAGAATTTGCAAAGCAAAAAGTAAAAACTGGTAGTCAAATAGAATCATAATGATCTATTTGAATAGTAAATTTCATTGAGAAGCGCAGCGCATCAAAAAGCATTTATTTTTTTTTATAAAACTTGAAAAATCGAAATATGAAATTTTTTATAATAAGTTTTTTCAAAGTCGGACAATCACTCTGGTTGAACTCTGAAAAATCATTGACCAATTTTTTCTTAATATTGAATATATTGAATTAATATTATAAAATCTGGGATCTCTTTAACTATATTGCCCCTTTTGCAAAAACTGATATGCTTAATCGTTCATTTACTTCTTTATAGGGGGGATAATCGTTACTATGTACCCGAGGGGGGTATAGCTAAATAGATCAAAAATCTGCACCGGTCCCCTCCACACCCCCGAAATCTCCATCTTGAATGTTGCTTCCAGATGATACTGCGAGGAGCTCTAAGTTACAAATTTGTTTTATTTCAGTGCTTCTCTCAATCTGTTCACTCTTAACAGACCCCAATCCGGAGGACCCCTTGGTACCCGAGATAGCCCGCATTTATAAGGCAGACAGAAACAGGTACAACGACCTCGCCAAAGAATGGACCAAAAAGTATGCCATGTAATGACGTATAGTCTCAAAATCGTCCTCGAGACAGCTAACTAAACATATATCTTAAAATTTTATGATAATCCTCAAAATTTCTATTGTACGGAAAAATCATTATTTCCTAAATAAATTTTCTTGTTTATAAAAACTTAAGCAAACGGATGTTTTGATATAGATTTTCCAGTTAGAATATAAACTGGACATTTGCAGTGGCATGAACAGGAAGGAAGGGTGCTTCAACACTTTGTCAACCTTAACTGGAACTTAACAGCAGAAAAACACTTATATAACAAAGGTTGAGTTTTGGTTTTTAAAGAATAAGCCCACCATAAACAAGGATGAAACAACCACTTCAGAATTTGACAAAAAATTCAGACAATAGATCCATATCACAAGTATTGAGATGAAACATTATATTTCAAAACCCACATCGATAAGACTTTGAAAAGGGCAGCTAGGTTGACGAATCAACTCAGGTTTTATTTAAACAACTTTGTTCCATATTTACAAAACATATATTCAACCAATATATCAATATATTGTAGTGATCTATGGCACAGCTAATAAGACGGACTGAAAAATGTTTTCAAATAAAAACATAGGAAAAACTGAAACATATTCGGGACAATAATGCACTCTGTTTGGTTCGAATGTTTTATGTAACTGAACTTCATAAACTCCTGGTAAAACTGTCAGAAAATCGTGAAGAAATAATAAGTGAAGATTATGTAAAATAACAGAAGATAACAGATGATATATACATAAGTAAAAGAAAAAAATTCGCAGCCAAAATTAGCTTAATACATGAACAAAAAATAAACTCTGAAATTTTCTTTTTTTATTTATAACTTTTGAGGAACTTCTGTGTTCCTTTTTGAGTACTGTCTATATACTCTAAACTATAAAAAGCTAAGCGAATAGAATTTGCTCATGAAGACGCCACCAGACAAGCTGATGCTTTTTTCTCCCACGACTAACTAAATTGCAAACTTTCAATTTCACCGAATTTAAGCTTAAAATTTTCGGGCTTCAAAATAAAATGGTTTTAAACCTGTCTAAAATAATAGCAAAGATTTAAAACATTTGACTTTTTTTTAATCTTTTTCTAAAATTTTAGCCAAAAAATATTAAGTTTGCGTTTCCACTTTCAGCATCATAGAAAAAACTCTAACAGAGGTGAAGCGGAGCTTTACACCACTTGCGATAGCTCACAAATAGCATTGGAAAAAACCAAAGGTAAAACGGTCACAAAAACCAAAAAACACTTGTGCAGATAGAAAAAACTGCGTCCACCAAGTTTTCTTATGTTAATCTCGACGAAAGGATTTCAATTAGAAAAACTAGAATTAAACCTGCCTGCTTCAACTTAGCTTTCCGGCAAACCGTAACTTGCAGATATTATGGGCAGCCCTTAAGCAGACGCCAATTGAGCCTAATACTAAACAATTGACAAACCTGAGCAAAACATAGCCAACAGACAGTTGTAAAAAAGTCAATGAACGCAAGGAAACGCAAAAAATGGTGGCTGTTTTTTTTTAAAAAACTTCAATTTAGGAATTTTAGCGAAAAATATATGCCCTTAAAACTGTTTTTGATATTATTCAGCCAATTTAAGACAACTGAATCAATAGGTAAATTTTGTTATATCGCTGGGAAATCTGTTAAATAAATCAATGTTCGAATTTAGAAGTCGGTCACGTTTTTCGTGATCTCTTCACCTCGGCTGTTCAATAGTGAATTTTGCCTTCTTTTTAATGAAGGAAATTAACTAAACTCAAAAATTTGCTCAATCCTAAAACACACTAAACAGATATAAATTGAAACTAATTCTACGCACTTGTAGAAAAAAATCAGAAACCATGCATCCGGAAAACAAAAATTGAAAACTTTCTTGAGGTGAACAAAAACAAAGAAAACATGCATTAAATTTACCCTCTGGATTATAAAAAAAGAACTAAAAAATCGACAAAAAACATAATTAACTAACAATTGGACAAGAAGGAACGCAAGGAAACTGTGCGATAGTGGAGTTTGCCTTTCTTTTAACAATAGAAATGCACTGATTTTGAAGAGAAATTAAGTTTCAAATCGCGAAAAATCAAAATTGAGGGTGACTAAATTTTTAGACTTCCTTTTTCCTGAAAAAAAAACAGCAAGACTTATATAAGAGTACTCACTACGTTCATTACTGTTCATCAAGATTTTTTTATTGTACTATTGTTTGAAACAAATAGCTTTTTCTGTTCAGTTGATGAAGATGAATTTATAATGCATCAACTGTTGTAACTTAATAGTACTCAAATGTCAAAGCACATGCTATCAATTTTGACTGTACGTCTTATATCATTTTTTGCTCATGTCGTTGAATAAAGATTAACACAGAGGCAAAGTTGCACTTCGCATACAAAATCGAAAATTTGACCGATAACGCTATTGGGAAAAGTGAATGAGTAAAACTGTAGTCTACAAACTTTCTCAAGTGACGCACGGCAATTATGAGTCTACATAAGTGCTAAGTGACGCACGCCAATTATGGGTCTACATAATTGCTAAGTGACGCAGGCATATTATGACACGTTAGCTGTACCAGTCAGCTTGAAAAAAAGAGAAAATAACCAACTAACATGCCTCAATTTATAGAGCGGAGGCATTTTAACTAGTATACGAAAAAGTTCATCATTAAAAACAGCCGACCCTGCCCAGGTTCGAACCCTCTTATTTTGTTGCGGGTCTTCTCCCTACCTCTAAACTACAGATCAATGATACCTTAAAGCTAAAAAGCCATTTGTAATGTAATAGTCTGTGTTAATATCCTGAGCATTGGCTGTACTTAATAGCTGGTTATTGAACAAAATGAACACATTTAGTCGCAACAGTATTTGCGTCGCAACAATATTTGCGACTTATAATGGAAAAAAAGACAGTTCATACTATAACACAAGCTTTGATTGTGTAATAGCTTGAATCTGCAAAAAAAATTCAGTTCAAGCCTTAGCCGCCCAAGCAGACAGAGATTTAAAAAATCAATATTGACTTTTTCCATAAAAATGTGCAATATCAAGAGAACTAATACAACTATTAAAGAATACAGTAACAGCAACAAGTCTTCCAATAGTTTGTTTTTAATTTCCAAGAAAATCAGCACTTCAGCACATTGTTCAATTACTCAAATCATAAAAGTTGCTAAATTGAAATGAAGTTTTCAGAATAGATTTTAGGTTAACTATCTCGTTGAACTTGAGATCAGAAACTTGATATTTTTATGGTGATATTTTAAAATAATGGTTGAAAAACGACGCATAATTACTTAAACTAGGAAAATATCAATCAAGCTAGGATTTCTTTCTTCTGATGTTAAAAATATTCCAGCAAAATTAAATTTATCAAATTATTCAATAGCAAAATCGAATTGATATTTACAATAAAGGTCAACAACTTATTTGCACAATGGCTTAGTCTAACTAGTTTCTAATTTAGCACGGAAGGGTAGAGAAAATGATGTTGAATTGATTTAAATCAGACGCTCTTCTTTCGGTAGTTGGAGGTCTGCGAACTCAATAGGTATCGAAAAAGCTTTGCTTCTGGACTCCGCGTCTCGCGGTTGGTATTCGCCTGTTTTTGCCCTGGAACCTCGCAACACAACAATGATAACCACCACAATTATCAAAACAGCCAACAAAACAAATGCGAGAGCAGCCCAAATAGCTATTCCTGCTGTGGACGTTACGAAATCATCGTCTTCGCTTTCTTGTGCAGCCTTCTCAACTTGGCAAAAACTTCCTTCGAAGTTTGACGTGCATCCACATGACGCAACTGTAGAATTGGTACTTTCGACACATGTACCTTCATTGGCACACGTTACATTATCAAAACAAGGCTCGCTACAAGTTTCGCCTTTTAACCCTGTTCTTACGCAGTCGCAGAAATATGAACCCTCAGTATTGACACAAACTCCATTGTCGCATAGATTTTGCGAAACATCACATTCGTTTGTATCTACATCACAGTTCGTACCTTCGAACCCCGTGTTATTACAGTCGCATTCATAACCAAGATCACTTATTTGGATATTATTGGAACACGAGCCGTTGTTTTGACACGGAAGTTTGTCACAGAAGTTGGTCTCAGCTTCGCAGTTTTTACCTTCGAACCCGAATGAGCAGTTACAACTGTAGGAGCCGACAGTGTCTTCGCATTGTTCTGTATTTTGCAATACACAAGGATAGTTTTGTTCGCATTCGTTGATGTTTTCACTGCAATTTGTCCCTCTATAGCCTGTTAACACACCAACGTAAACCTCTAAATACTTATAACTCTTAAGCACAGAGGCGAACCTGCGCTTCACAAACGCTAGCGCAAACACGACAAAAAGCAGCTCTATAAAGTGTAATAGGAAACGGTAGAAATAAGCCTTCAGTTAGTAAAAATTTAACTTATCTCGAATTCGAACCTACTACCTAGTGCGATCTAGAAATCAACATCTCGCACACTAATCACTCAGCCACAGACACTTAATTAATTCCAAACACTAGCCACATATAAAGCAGAGAACAGATGCTCTACAGTGAAATTTCCATAAGTGAACACTTCCAATGAACACTTATATTTGCGAGTTAGGTTAGAAAAAAAAGAACGTCCGTACTAATACACTAGCTACTGGCTAGTGTTAATTTAAGTTGAAAACTCCTAACTAAACCATTCATTATCAGTCAAAGGTTCAGCCACCAATTGTTTTCCATATGACCTTGTTCTGAAAAACGCAATGTCTTAAATCCTAAATAACAAGCTGCTTTATGCATCGCTGAAAAGTTAATAACTGTTTTGTTCAGATAAAGCCAGATTACCATCCATGATCCATTATAAATTTTTCTATCTATCAAAGAAATAATTATTTTCCTAGTATTCCAAACATGGGCCCACCTGAGGAGCAATTACACCTGAAGTAGTCTTGAAAGTTTTCACACTCTCCGTTCCCATTACACGTGACTTCCTGTTCCTCGCAAAGGTCAACCTTCTTGGTACAATTTTTTCCTTCCCACCCGGATATACACGCACAATTATATGTTGCTGTCCGAACGTTGTCATCAATGACCGTTGAACACGCATTTGCATTCTCGCATGGATGCGACCTGCATAAATCCTCTTGCTCTTCGCACTGAATTCCGTGATAGCCAGGGTAACATTCACATTCAAATTGAGGCTAAAAAAAAAACTGTTAGTCTGACATAGCACCCTCGCAGCTCTTAGATTGCCGTTTCCAGAAGCGGTAACAAAGCGGACAATACTTGAGCAGGCTTCTGTCGAGCCAAAAAAAATCATAAGTACACACAGGGGCGGATTTAGGGAGGGGGGGGGGCGGAGGCCCCCCCCCCCCCCTCAGGGATTCGACCCCCTGCCGATCCAAAGGGTTCCCCCTTTGGTACTTTTTAAGAAATCCATTTTTGGCCGACCGATCCTAAAATTTTTCTAAGGCGCCTTTGGCGCCAATATATACTCATTTTGAGAGGGAAGCGCGCGCCGAAAAAACGCAATTTTTTGGTCAAAATTTTCCAATAAGTGCCTAAAAACGCCTTTTTTTAATTTTTTTTCAAATTTTTGCCTGCGGCGCAGAAAATGTTGCCAAAAAAGGGACTAAATCATGCTCAAAAATCAATTCCGTCGACCTAAAAAAAAAGGTCGACAAAATTTTCGAATTTTTTTTTTGAAAATCCGCCCCCCCCCCTCGAGAAAATCCTAGATCCGCCCCTGAGTACACACTAAAGTATAAAAATGGATGTCATAAAATAATTCCAAAGTGGGGGACCCACTGGTTGGTGAGGGCGTCCGCCCATTCCCCTTAAATTCACCCAGGGTTACTAACCTCATTTTGAGGGTTGTTGCTGCATACCCCACGTTCATTACATGGATCCTTAGCGTCGTTGCAAGTGAGCGTATTTATTGTCAGGGTTTCACAAATCTCTCCTTGCCAACCTTCCGTGCAATTACACTCGTAGCTTCCTTCTGTATTAGAACAAGTACCCCCATTTTTGCACACATCTTCATTTGCATCGTCAGATTGTTCACACTCATTCACGTCCAGTTCACAATTTGATCCTACATAACCGCTTTGACAATTGCACGAGTACTTGTCGATACCGTCTACGCATTGGCCGTGTCCCGAACAAGTGACTTCAAGGCAGTCGTCTGCGTTCATCTGGCAAGTTTCGCCTTCGAAGCCTAAGAAAAATAAATTTTATTGACACTTAGTGACCCTGTTTGTAATCAAAATTAGAGATTGCAACTCGCCTATATGTCTACCAGTTTATGCAAAAAAATGTTTTCTAGAATTTTAAAAATGAGCATGAACAAAGTAAGGGAAAACCGACCACTTGAATTTCTAAACAATCATGAAAGACATCTTAGGGAGAAAAATTATTTGATTTTTAAATATTTAAAAATTTCAGCTACCTGTAATAGAGTATGGGTAAAGCGCAGGTCGAAACTTACGTCATTTACGTTGAATTTTGCATAATTTTTACGACTGTTACATAATTTTTACCGGATCAAACGCACAATCTCCCCCCTAAGTGATCAAACGTAGAATGTTCTCCCCAGCATCTATTAATTTTGAAAATTAATTCCGCATAAAATATTCATTTCAAACAGGCGCGCTGAATATACCACCGGAGAAATTTTTAATACCAAATGATATTCTATCATGTTAATACCGTAAAATATTAGTCATCATTTGGTATCCATTGATTTTTCCGACTAATTAGATCAATTTATTTTGCCCTCGCAGTCTTTTTTTTTGGGGGGGGGGGGGGGGGATTGTACGTTTCGTCCTTTTTACCAATTGATTTTTCGTTTTGCTGGTGATTGAACACCTTTCGATTAACTCACCTGCTACACAGTCGCAACTGAAGGCTCTCCATTCATCTACACAAGTGCCTCCGTTCTCACACACACTTGCATTAGTGCTGCATGCATCACTACTACAGCCGAATTCTACATTTTCACTAGCCACAAAAGTGAAGTTCAAATTGGACCCAAAATTCGGCTGCAGCGGAACAAACAAATTGTTTATTCTGAAGTTCGAAATGCAGCCATCAATTGCGGGTTGTGGATTCACGACATTCGTTGACTGCTCGTTTGTTAGTGAAGCATTTTCAGAGCTGAAACCTCCGATCCAAATTGAATCGCCCGCTATGCATTCTACCGTTGGTCGGGATGCAGCTTCGGGAGTTGTCGCAGAAATCTGGGAATTGTTTACTTGCAATGAAACTGTTCCGTCGTCACCAACAACTATATTGATCATGTTTGTTCGCCCGTCTGCTAAATTTTGTTCAATTTCAGCATTTGTTACAGTCGCTGATTCTCCAAATCGAAAGTTCAGAAGAGTTTTATCATTGGAGATCTGCATGTTGATGAAACAACTAGATGATTCCCCTTGCATGTGGAACACAGTTCCGAATTCTTTGCGTGTTCTCAATTCAAGATATATACTTACAAGCTCTTGAAGTGTGTTCGCCTCCTCGGGTTTCACTTGGACGAATCCGTCCTTAAATGATATCGGATCATGACACTCGAAACCAAACACACCATTGACACAGTTCTCAGAATCTTCGCACGGATTTCCATCGCAGAAATTAGTCTCTTCGCAATTAATTCCTGCCCACCCTGTTTGGCAATCGCATGTATACTCGTTCCAAGAAGGCTGACAGACACCGCTATTTTGACACGGATCAGACCCGCATACATTATCCGACTCGCATTGTGCTCGAATGCATTCCAATTTTGTGAAACTTCTCGATGTGAATCCGCTTACTTCAGGTGCGCTTTCGTCGAACCTCAAACTGTAGTATTTTAAACTACTGTCTGCATTAGTAGTCGCTTTAGAGATTAATCGCACATCCGAAATGCACCCTTTAAAGGAACCCAAGTTTAGGCCACTAGACGACAATTCTTCTGCAATGCTGAAGAATAAATCTCTATAACTAATTCCACTCATCAAATCATCAGATAACTGAAAAGATATTTCTGATCCGTTGTCGACAGAAAGGGAAGACATGCCACCATTAGCATATCCATATTTCAGAACTATTTGATGGGGTAATCCGTCTGTGACTTCGACATCCGTAGGATATTTACTGGACCCAATTTGTATAATTACTCGCGAATTTTCAACTGCTACAATTGGACCTCGATTTGATACATCCGACATACCGCCTGCGTGATGATACACAATTCCATTTTCTTTCACGGTTCTTAAATGAAAGCTGATTTCCAGAACTTGTTCTTGAAAAATTTCTAATTTAGCGTAGCTTTCCGATGGGCACTTGTTGTCAAAGTTGAAAGTTCCCGCGGAAATGTCTGAAAAAGAGTCAACTTAAACTTGAGACTTTCTTCCACTTTCCCCACATTTCCAAGTGTTTCACGTACGGTATGAAAAACAAATGTAATCAGGAGCAGACTTAGGGGATCATGGGCATCCATTTTTGGCCTACAGGGCCCATAGCTGTTCTAATAAGGGTTCACAGTATTTTGATTGGAGGGAGTCAAGTGTTTTATCACACTAAAACTTTGTCAGCCCCTGATTCGGATTCTAATAGATTTGAAACAAAAATTGTCAAACTCATTTAAGAATTGAAACTAAGCTCAAATGTCATTGATTTAAGGTGCAAAAATTGCTCAAAATTTTCATTTGATTTTTGAAGTTCAAAGAAGTTTTTTTCATCAAATTAATATGAAAGAAAAAAGAAAGGGTACCAATCTGGTTATCAATTTTCAAATTCAATGGTAAAAAAATCAGTCAATATCACTCGGAAAATCAGTCCAACTCACAGATTATGAAAAAAAAAATTCAATTAATCGGTATCAATAGAGAGTTAGGTGCTAAATGTCAATGTGTTGTGATTATGCAAATTAAAGAAACTAAAATTCAACCAATTATTTGTAAGTGAGGTTGAAGTTATGATGAAATTAAATTAAGTTACCGAATTCATTATTCAGATCTAAAACCGAAACATTTGAACATTTTTCATTGTTGTTGGGATTTTATGGTGCAAAAAATTCCAATCATGGTCAAATACCACTCCTTCATTTCTAAATTAGTACAAATAGTATTTCAAACAGCTAAATTCCAGTAACTTGCTCAAATACTTTCTTCAAAAGAGTTTTTTCTACGAAATGAGGAACACTACTTCTAATATTACCCGGTTCTTCACATAATTTATGTCGCCATGAGCTATACACGATTCGCCTGTAAATATTCACAATTCTTAAGCAATTTAACTAAAAATTTAGCTATTTCAAACCTCGCTCGCAGTTTTCGCCCGCGAACATCGGAGCACATCGGCAGTCATAAGAATCCCAGAGATCAACACAAGCTCCATTCCCATTACACGACAAATCATCACATTTTTTGATCCTTTCACAATTGTCTGTCGCTGAAACCCCATTCTCTCCTCCAATCAAAAGCTCCGAATTGATTACTACATCTTCAGCGCACCCAACGAAACCATTGGCGCCATCTACGTCATCAAAATTGTCGCCGAGGGTAATATCACCAACTGAAAAGCCAGGGAAAACTTCATCTTGAAGTTGCAAAGTGTAGCTGCAAAACTCCGGACAAATCTGGTCACTGTAAATCATGGTCATAAGGTTGTTTTCGAACTTGACCTCTAAAGACACCCACTCGCCGTGGTTTACTCTGGTATCTGACACCAATGCATTTTCTCCAAGTGTGAACTTCAGCTTTCCGTAACTGTCCAATTTCAAAGAGTAGTTCCGGGATGAAAAAACGGTTTTAGCCGCAAGGGTGGTTCTTATACGCAGTTTGACCTCAAGAGAGTCATCGTTTTGTGCTTCCGAGTAAATAAAAGGAGTCGAGAGGTCGATATCAGTGATGTTTTGGCAAAGGGTTCCAGTAAAACCTGACTGACATGTACAAGTGTAATTCTCCGTTTGTGTTTCGCCATCAAACTCTGGTACGCAAGTTGCATTGTTTTGACAATTGTTGCTGCTTTCACAAATTGTCAACACTCGCTAAAAAATTAGTTTTTTTACTTGAAATATTCGATTAGCGTACTTTTTTTTTCTCGGAAAACCATTTTTGTAATAATGAGAACTGAATACCAGGTTCGAAAAACAGTTTTCTTTTGGTCTTTCTCAATTACGACAAGAAATACATAAATGAAATGAATTAATTAATTTTTGAGTTTTCGAGGCAGACTTATTTTTAAGTTCCCAATGAAAAACTTCAAAATTTCAGCAAAATAATTAGCAAAAAGTAAACGCAAGGTTTGACTAAGAAGTACTGACCGTGCAATTTTCACCCGCATACCCTGTCGCACAATCACAAGTTCGCTCATTCACTCCATCCACACATGTTCCTTCATTCTGACATGTGTTCGAACCACACTCGTCAATGTTCACTTCGCATTTGTCGCCCTCGAAGCCAACTTCACAAGTGCACCTAATTCAACAATACGCATTATGTTAACATTCTGAAGTGCAAAAATTAATTTATTCAATTATGACCGAAATTCATGTTTTTTCCTAGAAAAGTACAAAGACAATGACAGGCAAAGTTAAGTAGCAGGTACTTAATTATAGTTTTTTTTGCACTGTCAAAATAATGAAATATTTTTTTTTCGACAGTTTTGGACCAACTATTTCATGTGATAAAATTAGGATTAGTTTTTTTGTTTGAACTCATTCAGGTGACATGAGAAAAGAACAACAGACTGACAGTTTGAAAAGAGTAATGAACGCAAGGGAACTGAAAAAAAACTGGTATTTTTTTTTCAAAAAACTTCAACTTTTGAATTTCGAAGAAAAAGATAGATGTCCTTTAAGTTCTTTGAATTTGTAGAGCAATTATGATGGACACTTTTTGCTAAAATTACCCCAATTTGAGGAAACTGGATCAATAGGTTAATCTTTTATTAAGCTGGGAAATATTAAAATTAAAATCCACTTTGGAAACTAAAAGTTGATCACGTTTTTCGCGACCTTTACACTTTTGCTGTTCGATATTGCATTTTGCCTTAATTTTAACAAAGGAAATACACTGAACTTGAAAATAAATCACAAGTCAAACGGCGAAAAATCAAAATTGAGCGTGAACAAATTTGAAGACTTTTTCCTGAAAAAAAACTAAAAAAATCGGCAAGACCTATATAAGAGTACTCACTACGCTCATTACTCTCAATAAGTTAATATAACTATTTTTGATATTTTTCAAAACATCAATGACATGAAAAAAACGATTCAGTTTTTAATGCCCTTTGCACAATACTGACCTGTAGAATCCTTCATCCGGGCTCAGGTTCTCACAATCGCGCGTGTGACTCGCCACACATTCGTCCATGATTGAACAGTAGTCTGTTTTGCTCTCACAATTCGGGTCTGAAAACTGAAACTTATAAGCAGTGCCACAAAAAGGGAGAAAAAAACTGAGCAGCCAAATAATAATATCTTGTCACTTGAAAAACATAGCCAACGGACAGCAAGGAAACAGAAAAAATTCAGTTTTTTGAAAAAACTTCCAACTTTCGAATTTCAAAAAAATGCCATTGAAACTGTCTGAAATTCAAAACCAATTTACGATTGACATTTTTTTGATTAACTTTACACAACTTGAGAAAACTGAAACCATATTTAAATTTTTATTTCCCTAGGAAATCTGATATTTAAATTTCGTTTTCGAAATTAGAAGTCGGTCACGTTTTTCGTGACCTTTACACTTTCGCAACTTTTATTTGATTTTTTTCTCTTAACTTTTTGATAAAAAAACGTGGTCAAATTTGCGTGTTCTACGCTTACTATCGAATTTACTTATTTTCTAGGCTTTTGTTCAGATGTGCTCATAGCCGAACGAGTAAAAAACGTCAATTTTTTTAGTTTATACTTTTATGGCAGGAACTTTCTGTGCTATTTGCACCGCAACCAGCTATCCTTGATACTATTAGCAGATGAGAAATGACCTTCAAATCCTTCGGGACATACGCAGACGTATCCTGCCGCGTGTTCGAAGCTGAAGTTGCGATTGATCAGGGGCACTATTTTTGGATAGTTGGCAGTATCTGACACCTCCAGACACAAGCCTCCATTTCTACACGGACTCACGTCACAGTCTGGATAGTCTTCCTAAAAAATCAGGCGATAATGAGAAGACACATTACTAATGAAACCCTAGAAAACATATTAAAGACCGTCTCCATTCATTGCTACCCTGTTTGGCTAAGAGGATAATGATATGGCTTATAAAAAAGTCGAAGCCAAAAAAATGCAAAAACTGTAAAAATAACGAGTTTAAATTATCGTTAGAGGAATTTATCATTGCAAGCCAGCAAACAGAAAATGAGACGGAAACAACAAAGCAAAAAAAAGTAGTTGAAAAAAATTGAAACAGAAAAACAGGCAAGAAACACAACTGACAGCATTAAATAAGCTTTTAATATTTACTGAGCGGCAACCAAGTCGAGAATAAATTTGTAGGGGCAGATCTATGACTTTCTGGGGGGGGGGGGGTACATTTTCGACCTTTTTTGTTCGAACAAATTGAATTTCCAAGCCTCACAATCACCATGCAGACTATTTGACGCAATACTTTCTGCTCCGCCGACGAATTTTTGAAATGATGCATCATATTTAAACCCTTTCAGTCGTGCCTCGAACGACATAAAAAAAATTCAAAAAAATTGTCCCAGTGTCGAGGAGAACAGGTTTTTTTAGGTTAAAGTCGCAAATAAAAGCGCAGAAAAAAAAGATTGTCTTATTTTTGGAAAAGAATCTTAATTTTGGAATTTCAAAGAAAAAACCTTTAACCTTAAAACTCTTTGAGTTTCAACAAGAATTTATGATTGGCACTTTTTGGATGAAACTAATCCTATTTGAGAAAATTGTATCAAAAAGTAATTTTTTTATTTCGCTGGAAAATTTGGAAACTAAATTCCACTTTCAAAACGTTCGATTTTCGATAGTGGAGTTTGCCTTCATTTAAACAAACAAGTTCGATTTTTGATAGTGGAGTTTGCTTTCATTTATACAAAGGAAACCACCTGAACTTGAGATGACATCAAAATTCAAACCGCAAAAAAGTATACTTAAGCCTGAAAAAATTTCATGACTTAACCTGAAAAAAAAACTAATCGCGACCTTTATAGCCGCAGCCTGACCTATCTTCATCAAGTCTTAATAAAAAAATCAAAATGACCTATATAAGAGTCTTCACTTAAAAAAACACTGAATTTCCCGTTGTTGTGTTACAATTATACAAATGACACAAAAACAGGCAGTGTACTATTTTAGTGTAGTTTATAAGATGTATTAGCAAATTTTATGTATATTAGATGAAACTAAATTCTTTCCATTATGCTTTACCATAAGTCACTTGGCCTGAGTCCTTCTTAAATTGATCAAGAAAATGTATCTTAATCAATTTTGTGTATCTTAACTGTTTGATCTTAATGAAATGTTTGTGTATCTTAACTTAGTTGCTGTACTACTCGTAGAATCAATATCGCTTACGTATTTGAATGGGATGTTCTTGTGTAGCAGAATGCTTTTCCTAATAACACTTTAATCAAATATCTTACTGTGCGAGCGTCGATGCAGAAGAGCTTCTCAGTTCGAGAATGATAATAAAATTCTGAGTTTGGTAAGGCTAGACTTTTTTCCGAATTGCAAGCGGGTTTCTACTGAGAAATGATTTGTTAACAATATGTTGATATTCTATAGTCAAGAACAAACCTAATTGTTAATATGCCAATATTCGCTTGTAAGTTCCTCAAAAGAATCAAATTTGCGTTTATAAAAGCAGACTTGGACGGCCCAACTTATTTTCTTTTCAACTGTTATGATAAGATTTTGCCACGTTTTTTAGGTCGACCATATTGATTATCCGAGCTTTCCCATATCAATATGAAGACCCTGTTTTTACAAAAAAAAAATCAAACAAAAAAAACAGGTAAAAAATACAAGTTAAATACATGACGGGACTTAAAGTTACCTGACAGTATTCCCCCGAGTATCCCGGGTGACATTTGCACATGAATGCGTTCACTTCGTCTTGACATGGGGCTCCATTGTAACAGTGAACTGCGAGACAGTCATCTATCGGGTGTTCACACTTGCGTCCTTGGAACCCAGTGCCTTCGCAGTCACAAGTGTAGCTGCAACAGAACAGTTAACGTGACTGAACCACGAAGTTAGCATAATTTATTATGGTCATTAATATTATTATTGGTTATTATGGTTATTAATACAATTCACAGACAAGCGAAAGGACCAAAACACAATCTGTTCAGCTCTTCACGGCGAACCGCTGCTTAATCTAAACATTTTTCCGGACTGGGTAATGTGCCTCACCCAAGCAACGAACAGTCAATATCTCGCATAAAACTACCAAGCTCGCAGCTACAACTTATTTAGATATAGAGCCATTCTTGATAAAAGGCTAAAAATCTTGTACTTTCTCTTTATGCAGTTGAAAAAGGGTTTCAAAAAGAACCACGAAAATAGGAATGTTTTGTATGATACAGAGTATTCGGTGCTGAGTTAACCAAAAAAGCGAGAGCTATCTTGGAATGAAATAAAACGGGATTCCAAGATACTTGAATTTTTAAAAAGCACTACTCACTCATTAATTCCGTCCGCACATCGTCCTCCGTTCTGACATGGATTTCCTGTGCACTCATTGATATCCGTCTGACAGTTCGATCCAGTGTAGCCCGGCTTACACACACACTCATACCTACAAAATTGAAATACTTACAAAATAAGCTCCACTTTCGAAAATAAAAATCGTTTTTATAAAAAAGTTTTTTTGCGCCATTTCCACGTTCGTATTTGGAGAGTGCTATTAATGTCATTTTCAGCAGATGAATTTAGGCTAAACTCAAAAAATGTATATATACCCAAGTCCATCATAAATGCATCAATATGTATGAATGCACATCTGTAGTTATTAGAGACTTTTATGCACATTTTAAGACTCTTTCCGGAAAAAAAAACAGCAAGACCTTTATAAGAGTCTTCACTTCGTTCATTACTCTGAATAAACCTGACAAGGCAACTAATTCTGGGCAAAATATATACTTGGCAAAATTGTTGCTTGCAACTTGGATTTCCAATTACTTCGTTTCTTTTACTGAACTTTCATTTGTTTCTTTCTATTGTTCGGCACCATCGATACGAATCGTAGTTTTTTTTCCGAATTGTCACCGAAGCCATTATTTTTATATATTGACAACAACCTATACACACTTTTAATGTCTAGCGCTCTATAGGAAAAAAAACAAATCCCTTCGCTACAAATGGTCTTCGAACTTGACCTCAATAATTGGGGCCTCACGCAATGCCCTCCCGGCAGCGAACGCTTAAAAACCGGCAATCACTAGCCACAAATAAAGCAGCTACATTTGCTAACAAATTGCCAATGCGACGCAGCAAAAACTCACCAAATACAAGACACGATATTGCAAGTAATAGTTTGAATATTACAAAACATAGCCAACTGACAGATGGAAAAAAGTAACGAACGCAAGGGAACCGAAAAAAACTGACGCATTTTTTCTGAAACCTTCAACTTTTGAATTTCGAAGAAAAAAAATAAATGACCTTGAAATTGCAGAACAATTTATGATGGACACTTTTTGCTAAAATTACCCCAATTTGAGAAAACAGGATCAAAAAGTAAAACTTTTTTCGCTGGGAATTCTCATAATTCACTTCCATTTTCAAAGAGACGTCACGTTTTTCGTGACCTCTACAATTTTGCTGTTCGATGTTAGAGCTTGCCTTCATTTTAACAATAAAAATTCACTGAACTTAAAAAGAAATCACAAGTCTAAGCCACAAAAAAAAAACTAAAATTGAGCGACAACAAATTTTACACAGAGACGAAGTTGCACTTCGCATACACAAGCAAAAACATGACCGATAACGCTACTGGGGAAAATAAAACTCTGAGTCTACAAAATTTCGTAAGCGACGCATGTCAATTATGAGTCTACATAATTGCTAAGTGACGCAAGCCAATTATGACGCATTAGCAAAACCAGTCGTTTTGAAAAAAAAAAAGAACTTTACCCAACTAACATGCCTTGATTTATAGCGCGGACGCATTTTAACTAGTATACGAAAAAGTTCACTGCGAACATCCGAAACTGCCCAGGTTCGAACCCTCTTATTTTGTTACCTTTCCCTACCTCTACGCTAAGATCCATGATACCTTCAAGCTACAGTGCTATTTGTAATAATATAATAGTCTGTGTTAATATCCTTAGCATTGGCTGTACTTAAAAGCTGGTTATTGATCAAAATGAACCCATTTTGTCGCAACAATATTTGCGCCTCAGGTTGGAAAAAAAAGAGAGTTCATACTATAACACAATCTTTGCTCGTGTAAAGACGCTTTCCTGGGAAAATATAACAAAAAGAAAACTCACCAAGACCTATATAAGTATTCGCTACGTTCATTACTCTTAACTGAAGGCATCCAAACTGATTTTGCATTAAATAAATAGGAAAACTTAAAGCCACATTATGAGTTAATTATGCATTTCAAAAAATTGCGTGATATATTGAGTTAGAAAATTTCTGATATTGAGTTAGAAAATTTCTGATATTGAGTTTTTACGATTGTTATGTTGGTAGAAACAAACTGCTTTTTTCGTTTCATTTTATTAACTTAAAATGCATCAACTGTATTAACTTATTATTATTCGAACGTCGAAGCACATGCTATCAATAATCCGTAAAGGTGCACAAAAGTAGGACCAATATTTGAGACTTAGGTTAGAAAAAAAATAGTCGCAGTATAACACTAACGCTCACTTAAGTTCGCTAGTGTATTAAAAACCAACTAACCTTCCAATTAAGTTCACGCAGATGCCTGCATTCAGACACAAATTCGGGTCACATTCATCAACCTCTACCTCGCAGTTTTTTCCTGTATATCCATCTATACATACACACTCGTAATCTCCGACTAGATCTATGCAGCTGATGGAATTATTACAGTGTCCATTGCATTCGTCGACTTCCTCATCGCAAAGAGTACCGAAGAACCCATTCGGACATTGGGAGCAGCCGAAGCCGTTCACTTTGTCCTCACATGTACCGTTGTTGCATGGGTTTCCAACACAATCGTCTATGTTAATATCGCAGTAGATTCCCTCATAGCCAAGGTTACAAGAACATTCGAAGCTACCTAAAATTTCCTACTCAATTGAGTGTTAGCTTTTAGGGTCAATATTTTCTGGCACGGTCAGCGTCGTAAGGGCCAATGTCTATGGATTACATTAAACAGAGCTGCTGGCTTCAATTGACATTACAATTTACTAAATTAATGCTGCAATTCTGTGATTATGCTGCAATTCAGTTACATGATATTTAAGATAACAATATCTACTCTTAAAATAGGTATAACAGACTTGGCATTCACTTCACTATTTTTTGTTGAAAGCATATTCAGTTCTGTTGGTCTGTTCAGTTTCCTCATGAAAAAAAAACTGTTTTGTTTTTTGAAAAAAATGTCAACTTTCGAATTTCAAAGAAAAAAAGATACCCTTAAAGCTTTTTGAATATCTAAAACATCCCAAGTGAGAGAAAGTCAATAAAAAGCCACCAATTCAATGAATCTTGTTTCTCACCGGCGAGATTGGAACATGTTCCGTGTTCACATTGGTTAGAAGCAGCCTCACACTCGTTTATGTCAACACAATTATCAGTTTCAGTCACGTATCCCTGAGGACAGGCACATCTAAAGCCATTGTCTGCCTAAAAACGAATTAAAAAAATCTACATCACGAATAAAAAAAAACAACCAATCGAAGATTGGAAAAGAGTAATGAACGCAAGTAAAAATAAAACAAACTCTGACTTTGTTAAAAAGATATACCCTTTAAGCTCTTTGAATTTCTAGAACGATTATGCTTGGCGCTTTTTTGATAACTTTAACCCAACTTGAGGAAACTGGATCAACAAGTTTTTATTCCGCTGGAAATCAAAAAACTAAATTCCACTTTAGAAACTAGAACTCGTTCACGTTTTTTTGCACCAATCCCATGTTCGTACTAGAAGAATGCTCTTTACGTTACTTTCAGCAGATGAATTTCAATAGAACTCAAAAAGTGCATTCATAAATGCATCAAAAGTATGAATGCACATCTGTATTTATAAGACTTTTATGCACATGTTAAGACATTTTCCAGAAATTTTTTTTTAATCAGCAAGACCTATATAAAAGTCTTCACTACTTTCTTTACTCTCAATATTTCACCTTAAAACTTAAATTTCAAGAATAATAAATTATTGACACATTATTCAAAGAACTAGCATCATAAAGGAACTACCAACTTTTTTATTCCGCTGGGAACTCTCAAATCGTCTCTAAGATTATTAGGCATTCATGTTTTGTGCTATTTGAGAGCTCAACTTGCCTACTTTTAGCAGATGTCAACCACAAAAGATCAAACTTGGCGTGAAAATTTGAGACTTTATTCAAAAAACATCAGGACCTATTTGATAGTCTTCACTGCGATTATTCACACTTGAAAAAAAGGAAAAGACATAGCCAAGAAACAGTTGGGAAAAAATTATGAACACAAGGCAACAGAAAAAAAAACATTCAAACCAACTGACTTGTTTTTGAAAAATAAACTAACTTTCGAGCTTCAAAGAAAAAAAATATATGCCCTTAAGGCTCTTTGCATTTCAATGAATCATGATTGGCCACTTTTTGATAAACTTGACCCTATTTGAAAACCTATCAATATGTAAATTTGTGTATTCCGCTGGGAAATCTGAAAAACAAATTCCATTTTCGAAACTTGAAAACGATCACTTTTTTCGTGACCTTTCCACTTCCGCTGTTCGATAGTAGAGTTTTTGCCTTCCTTTTAATAAAAAATTCGAAACAAATATTTCAAAATCAAAACCGCGAAAAAATAAATTTTAGCACGAACAAATTTCACATGCTTTTAAGGAAGCCCAAAACTTTCACATGTTTGTCTCGAATTGTCTTAAACCGCTCATTTCGATAAAAACATGCCCAGTTACTCAATCGAGTGTTAAATTGGTAATGAAAAAAAGCTAACGAAGCAATATCGAAGCCGATATTGCTTGGCCAGATATCTGATGAGTCGGAAAAAAATTAAACATCAAACATCGAACGACGCATATGAGTCCACTGACCCGAAACATAGAAAACAGACAATTTGAAGAGTCATGAACGCCAAGAAATGGAAAAAATGCTTACTTGAAGTTGAAAAAAGAAATCAAATTACGAAATTTGAAAAAAAAAATTTATAGCCTTGAAGCTTTTTGAATTTCAAGAACAAGTTATGATAAACACTTTTTTGACCAAATTAACTCAATTTGAGAAAAATGGATCAATAGGTGAAATTTTTCTTTCGCTGGGAAATCTGATTATTAAATTCAACTTTCGAAGTTAGAACTCGATCATGTTTTTCGTGACCTTTACACTTTTGCTGTTCGATAGCGGAGTTTGCCTTCTTTTTTAACAATAGAAATGCACTAAACTTAAAAAGAAATCAAAGTCAAACCGCGAAAAATCATATTTGAGCTTGAACAAATTTTAAGACTTTTTCCTAAAAAAAATCACCTATTTAAGAGTACTCGCTTCGTTCATTACTCTTAATAAAATGATCTTAAGTCTCTCAGTTTCGTCCTACAGTAATAAGTCAGAAAAACGCAAAACAAAACTTCAAAAAACATAATTTAACTGCACTTTTTCTCCGCATAATTTCTGTTTTTTTTTGTTAATCCGAATTGCGACTGAAAGGAGTTGAAAATGATAGTTACTCACGTCCTTGATATTTACTTATATTTAGAAACCTGGATTAAAAATATTTACAATGTCTAACTTTTCTAACAAAAGCCACTTTATAACACTAAAATGAAGGTAACATTTTTAAAAATTGAATTTTTTGGATATTACGATTTTGGGATATCTGTAAATTAAATTCCAATTTCGAAACTAGAAGTCGATCACGTTTTTCGTGACCTCAACAGTATTGCTTTTCATTGTAGAGTTTGCCTTCCTTGAATGATAAAATAATTGAACTGAAAAAATCAAAAGTCAAGCGTAAACTCAAACTTGAGCGTGAACAAAATTTAGACCTTTTCCTGAAAAAAAATCGTTCATGACTCTTAATAAATTGAAACAAAAACTGCAATTGTACCAAATCAGAATTGGTAAATTTGCAACCAAAAAGTATGACGGCTCTTTCAAATTCAGACATGCTCAAAATATGTCTGTTGGAGGATAAAGTCTCAGAATTGAGAGATTTATAGGGCATCTAGTTTAAAATTCGTCAGGTTTACACAACATCAAAATAAAAACTAACATAAGGATCATTACTGCAGACCATGCCGCTGTTTGTGCAAGTTATGTTCAGGTCGTCGCATACAGTCTTCACTTCAGTGCAATTTTCTCCCTCGAAGAACTCATTAGCACATTCACAGGTATAAAGAACGCCATCTGTAACAAAAAAAACTCAAATAGAAGGCGCCCTTTCAAAATGCAACGGTCAGTGCACAGGTTAGTTAAGGCCATACCAACGCTCAATAAATTCATCTAGACTAATTTTTTCGCAATTTAGATTTTATTCACTGAAATTCAGAACATTTACAACAATATGAATCTCATTGCACGAACGCCAATGATTTTTTCTCATTAAAACCTCAAACCGTAGATTGCCGTGAAAATAGTACAGAATGTTCAAGACCACAATTTTTCCAAATTCTCATTTAACAAACCAATCACAGAAAATCTATCACTAAATCAGAACAATAATTTTTTGATTGCCTAAACTTTTTTTACTCAAAGCCCATCATGATTCTTGAATGTTGCTTGAAGGAAAAATTTGTAATAAGCAAGCATCAAATTTACTTCAAAAACCGTTTATAAACTCTATTATAAAGTCAGTTTTTAGGCGCTTAGCCACTCAGTCTATATATCAGATCAGCAACATTGACTTATTTCAATACTGCTTCCGAAGTGAAGATGAAAAAAAAACCAAAAAAAAACACTCACCACTTGATTGGCATGAAGCACCATTTTGACATGGATTATCATCTTCACACAGATTATACACCTGTTCACAAGTATCTCCAGTGAAGCCTTCCGAACACTGACAGGAGAAGCCTTCAGTCTCATCCACACACTGTCCATTCTCACCACAGTCATGGTCTTTCTCACACAAGTTAACGTCTTCAGTGCAGTTCACACCTGAAAAACAAGTTCAATCCAATTCAATTAATAAATAAATTACTCGTTCCCAATGATAGTTAGAGATGTACCAAATTCCGGTTCCCCCAAACTTCACAGTTAATTCCGGTTCCGGAATCCGGTTTAAAAAAATACCGGAATGTCGTGAACGATTTTACCATTTCCGACCAAAATCTAACTTTCAAACACTTGAATTATTGAATCAAAAGTGGATTGTTATCATGGAGCATTTGTTATTATGGAGCAAAATCAATTTCGGCGACATATTACAATAGGTGGCAGGTTCAATTTCAATAGCTGGATTGCTTTTAGTTATACTTCGCACAATATTTATAAGTAATTTTAAAAGTCAAATTTTTAGGCAAAAGAAATGTAAAATTGAATTTTTGAATAGCATTGTTTTTCCGATAACTCCGGAAAGTAGCTGTTTGATTTAACACAGCTAGCCAACATAAATATATGCTTGTGCGATTACTCATCAGCACCATAAACGAATTCCATGAACCCAAGCACGACTATTTGAGAGCACATAGTGATGAAGCACACCCCTTCCCCTGAACCTTTCAAGGGTAAAATGTTGTCTTGTCTTACCGGCCCAATTCCTATTACAACTGCAACTATAGCTGCCTTCGGTATTAGTGCACGATCCCCCGTTAGCACACGGCTCGAAAAGTTCACACTCGTTCACGTCTTCATCACAGCGTCTTCCTGCCCAGCCAATATCACAAGCACAGCTGAAATATGATTGGTCAGTTTCGTCCAGCTCTGAGCCAATCACAGTGTTCGAACAGGTTCCGTGGGATCCACAGGGACTCACGTATTTACAGACGTCGAATATTTCGCTGCAGAACACACCTTGGAATCCTGAGAACAGTAATAAAGTCGAGATTAATATTCGATTTACATTCGATAACAACATATCTAGATTAGTTGAATCAGCCAGGTATCTTCAGGGTTGGTCTTAAGAAAAAGAATGCTGTAATGTTGATGGATACTAAGGCTTGTATAGTTGAGTATCCTTGATGCTGTAGATTCACAGGGGGCTGGCTAGGAAATTAGCCGCAAGCAAATAAAGATACTGATAAAACGGAATTTAGACGATAATTCTTTGTTAAAAAACTGACTTTTTGCTTATGACGAAATCAGAGATACAAAAATTGAATATAACCTCAAAACAGATCAAATTTTTATTATAAAAGCAAATAAGACGAGCAAATAAAAGTCTATTTTATTGAATTCATAAAATGGAATTTAGACGGTTTCTACTTAAATTAATTAATTTATTTTCCTAGGCACCAATTTTGCTGAAACAGTAATTTTTTCTTTAAACAATTTTGTAACTGAATTTGAAGAAATTGAATTTCAACTAATTGTCTACTGTTTGGAATACATCATATGCGTTTTTCGTAAGAATCAAACTCCAGTCTAGAGTCAATGACTTATTTTTAATTCTTACTCAAACATGAGCAAAGTCGGGAAAGAGGTGAAAGGAACTAAACCTAACGCAGTTTGAAAACTTAAAGAGTCCTCTGAATCATCGAAGGAGAACTGATTGTTTAATAAATACCAAGACTCACAATTGAAGAATTCGTCACAAAATAGGATTGAGGCAAAAATTAACTCGCAAGACCTCAAATTCGAAACAAAAGACTGAATAAACTTTGTAACACAAAGATTTGAAGGTCACTATCTATGTTAGAATTCGCAATTCTTCATGCTACTAAGTACCGTTCGAAAAAATTTTCGTATTAAAGAAACCAACCAACTCGATGGAGCGCAATAATTCATGACGCGAAATAAGCTGCACCAAAAATCAATAAATCAATCAAACACATGAATGTCAATTAATCACAATTTTACATGATAGCCAAAATTTGACAAGATTTAATTTAAAACGGTGGCATTCAGCCTGCATACAGCCAAAAATTTGGCAAAAAATTAATAATTATCTAATGATTTCCGTCAAAGTAAAAAAATATATATATCTCGAAACAAGGTGGACTTAAAATAGAAACGAGAAGAGTTTTTTTTCATTTATTTACAAAGGCCACAAACTCATTCAATAATGATTTTCCTACAGAATCTGAGCACCTAGTCTGGATTGGTATGAGAAATCACATGTTTCAACGAAATATATAAAACGGATTTATATTTTTAAAAAAAAACAGATTTACAAAGGGACAAAAAAGAAGGAAAAGGAGAGGGAAATGATTAATACAGAACATCAACATATCATATATATATATATATATATATATATATATATATATATAGTCTTTTTATACAAACAAATGTTTCGCGCACTTAAAAACCAAAAAATGGTTAAAAAAATATAAAAGAGGCAATAAAAAATTGATTTCGAAGCAGGCCAATTCGTCGATCAATGAAATTCGCTTTGATACTCCAAGTCCTTTTGTTTGTCATCCTGTTTTTTCCTAAGCTTAACACGCACCGTTTCTTTGTAGCTACTCTCTCCAAAATTTTCAGATCAACTCAACTGAAAACTCCCAAAGAAGCACCATCAAAACCTCACACCAGTTAGGCAAAAAAAAAACAAAGAAACAATTCAAAAGATGAGCACCATTCAGTAACGCTTTTGAGCTCATTGTCTGCAACATTAAGATTCTTTTGAAATTTGATAGATGTCATTTTCGTTGGGAAGCTTTGATGACTGAATTGATCTTTCGACAAGAAACAACAAAAACATCACCAACAGACAGCTGAAAAGGCGTTATAACTCACAAAACGGTCAAAAAGTAGTGTTGTTAATATTGTTTCAACAAGCAAATTCCATCAAAGAATTTACATAGCTTTAAAAACTTCAAATCTGAACATTTTTTTTTGGTAAAATAAGCCGATATAATGATAAAATGAAGTCAGTTTAAAAGTCACCTGAAATTCAAGAAAACTACATCCGTCTTGAAAGTCTAGCTGCATATCAACATTTGCAATTGGAGAGCGCAATAGGAGCTCCATTTGAAAAAAAAAGATTTGAAACTCGAGATTCGTAAGAATCAAAAACCAAACCACCGATTTAGATAAGCATAACAAAGAAATGCAAAATACACAGCTTTGTCTTTTTCCTACACCTGCGATTTTTACACAGAGGCAAGGCTGAGCTTCTCCACAGATGTCATACTACACAAAAGGCATTGTAGGATAGCAGAGAACAAATGCGACTGAAGCCATTAAGTAAAAAATATATATATTTTAGAAAGTCAAAAGTATCTACTAAAAATTAAATCTAACTAAAATTTCATCTATTTGTCTCAAATGATGTTCAATTGGACAAAAAACGCCAAAAACCCAATCACCGTCGTTACAAACTTGGGTAGTCTCCAGTTGCGCCGAAAGTAAACTGTTGTTGTATTAAAATTTCGAACCATGAATTTTTTTGAAATTAGAAAGTTTAACGAGCCATTCCTCTAGGAACACAAAAGATAAAAATCTATTTTAACCCTGAAACGACACGAAACGATGCGACTAAGTGAACAAAGCATAAGTCGAACCATTTCAGCGGAAAAAAAAATTAAATTAATAAACAAAATCAGAGTTGGTACACTTACAAATTACAGACTGAATTACAGACTTAATTATAGTTTCAACCATTAGATAAAAAAAGAAGATATTTTGAAGAAAAAACATCCGTGCGTAGGAATGCGAGCTGACAAAAATTAATTAATGATAGTTCGATATTTGATATTTTCCAAAAAAAAAACGATTTCCAAACAATCAAAGAAAATCAAGGTCCGACGGGGACTCAAAACCGGCAAGTAGAGAACCCTGCATCTGAAGGCAAAAATCTTAGAAAGTCTCGTTCCAAAAACACTGCACCACTGCTGCGTGCATTTTACTGTTTACGTGAATGAAAATTTAAGTAAACAAGAAAAAAAACGGACATTTTAAGGGAAAAATCTCATACTTCAAGAAAAAAAATAGATGACCTTAAAGCTTTGAATTTCCAGAACAATTTATGATTAAAATTTTTGTGACGAAACGAACCCAATTGGAAAAAACTAGATTAATAAGTTAAGGTTTTATTCCGCTGGAAAATCTGAAAGTTCAAATTCACTTTCGAAACTAGAAACCGATCACGTTTTTCGTGACCATTACCCTTCTGCTGTTCGATAGTGGAGTTTGCCCTACTTTAAATAAAGGAAATAAACAGAACTTGAAAAGAAATAAAAAGTCAAACCGCAAATTCAAACTTGAATGTCCACGAATTTTATAGGCTTCTTAAGAAACCAAAAACTTCACCCGTTTTACTCGAATTGTCTTGAAAAAGCTCATTTTGAGAAATACATTCCCAGTAACTCAATTTTAAAAAAGATTAAATTGGCTACGAAAGAAATTTACGATGCGATTTCAAAGCCGATACTAAAATTAATTGACCGGACACCTTAAGTGTCAGAAAAAATTGTACATCAAATGACGCAATATTAAGACACTAAGCCGAAACATAGAAAACAGACAGTTGGAAGTTATGAACTCAAGAAAATAGAAAAAATATTGACTTATTTTTGAAAACAAATCAAACTACGAATTTTGAAGGAAAATATATGGCCTTAAAACGCTTTGAATTTCAAGAACAACTAATGACTGACATTTCTTCGATGAAATTAACCCAATTTGAAAAAACTGGATCAAAAGGTAAATTTTTCATCACGCTGGGATATCTTTAAATTTAATTCCACTTTCGAAACTAGAAGTATATCACGTTTTTCGTGTCTTTTACACGTTCGCTGTTCGATAGTAGAGTTTGTGTTCCTTTTAACAAAGGAAATAAACTGAACTTAAAATAAATAGAGTTTGTGTTCCTTTTAACAAAGGAAATGAACTGAACTTAAAATTAATTCAAAAGTCAAACCGCGAAAAAACAAATTTGGGCCTGAATAAATTTTTGGACTTTTCTTGAAAAAAAAAACACAAAAAAATCATTGCGACATATATAAGAGTCTTAAATCACCGACTCTTAAAAAGAAACTAACAATCAAAGCAAAAAAAAACAGTAAATTTGAACTTAAACAAAACTTTTCCTGAAAACAATCATCACGACCTATATAAGAGTCTGAACTGCTACGTTCATTGAATCTTCAAAAAGATAAAAAGTACGACTTAAAATTTTTGAAACAAAATGACAAACTGTAAATAGAAACGAGCCAAAAAACATGTCAGATAATAGGAGCTGGGGTAAAATCGAGCCCTTACATATGAAGGAAAAAAGGAAATACTTCAAAAAACCAAAAGAGTAGAAATTGCCCAGAGTGGAAACTGCAAAATAACACGGCGGAAGCTGCATATGGCAAAAAGAAGTATCAGAGAACAACAAAAAAGAGCTACAAAGATGAAAACAGAAAAAAAACCGATAGACAGGGTGCATTCAAAAATAACGGATTCTCGCCAGATTGGAACCCACAAACTTTGCTTCCCCAGGCATAGTCCTTAGTTCAACGCCAAAAAAGCCGGAACAGCTAAGATACTTGAATTTATTATAAGCCGAGCTATCAAATAACTCAACTCATTTTGTAAACAAGTTGCTCGCCCCCCAGAAAGACAAAACATCCGATTTGATAACGCTTGCTAATCGCAAGTGAACAAAAATCCAAACCGAACCGCGACAAATCAACCATTAGCATTATCAAATTTTAAAAGACTTTTGTCTGAAAGTAAAACGAAAAAGAAAAAACCAACACGACTTTTATAAGTTTCTTCACTACGTTAATTGACACCTAATTACGCAGATTTGTAGCTGCAGGTTTTTCGGCAGTTTCTGAGCTTGACCTTTTTTTGGTAATCGTGCTCCCAACTTGAAATTTTCTTTGGTCAACGAGACAGAGCACTCAATCAAAACCAATGATACATGAAGAGCAGAAATGGGAAACAATTTTACAACGGGATGTCACCGTCTTGTAGTTTTTGTCCAACGAAAATTTATACTATTCCGTGTGGAAGAATAATAGATGCGCTAAATTGGTACATATATCTACAGTACACAAAATACACCGCAAAACAGCAGTTCACATTTTCTTTTAACTAAAAAAAAACTAGCGTATTTGTACCACCATTGGTCCGAGCGCAAGTTAAAAATATTAAATCCATTTTGCATTTCCACGTATTATTTATGAATAACGCTTTCTTATTCACACACAAAGCGATTTCACATTTTTTGATTTAGCTCCATTCTTTTTTTTCCACTTCAAGGCGCTGCTGATAATGTCTACAAAAATAGAGAAAAAAGAAACCGACTATGTAGAGAAATACAACACACTCAAATGCACTCCTTTCAAACCGACGTAAGAGCTTCATTTTATGCTACCATCTTCACTCAGTTTATAATTCCTAAATTTTATCAACTTTTGACGACTTTTCTTTTTATCTTGCCTAATTTATAACTCTTGACCTTTTAAAATCGCCGGCGCATTTGCAAAGCAAACACGTTCTAATTTATTCTAATTCCTTATTTTCCCTGGCTTGTTTTTTAAGCTATGCTATGCTCGAAAAGTCGCTTGGTTTTATCTGGGTGTGTATTCAATTACCTACATACCATACACCACTACTAGGGGCATAGCAGTTATTTCACCATTGGTTGGTGTTTTACCTATAAATGCCTTTTCAGTCTATGAATTGAACGTTATGAGACTGAAATTGCTAGCTTTTACCATCTTTCTCTGATTAATGGTTCAAAACGAATTAATTCTTATCTTCACGCCATTTACTTTTCATCTCTTAGTCAAATTGAACTTTCAATAGAAAAAGTCTCATTTTGCTAATTAATTCCATGCCATTTAAAACTTCAGAAAAGCGTCCTTAGTGTTGCACACGTGAGCAGAATAGTTTGAGTTGCCTAGAACGCAATTAGCTTTTTGAAAAATCTATCCAAATAACAAAATAAGCTGCAAAACAGTGAACTATGAAAATGAACAGTAGTTTCAATTATTTGGAAGCACAATCAAATCTTTTCTTTTATCTCTTAACCGTTTGCAAAACCACTAATTTTTTCACTTGATATATTCTTCAAGCACAAGGTGCAAGCAATTAAGTCAAACTAATTTTCAAATTCTCAAAAAAATTCACAAGTCAAGAACGTAATTTGACTTGACTGCCTGATCAAAGAACGAATTTGTTGCCAGAGCCATCAGAGCTCGCACTTTTTAGCCCTATTCAATTTCAATTATCTTGCAATTCATCTGCAGCCCTGCACACTTATCTAGATCTCCAACTCAATTCTGATCAAAAATCGAGATCTCCTATTTCAAACGGACATCTTACCAATTAATCTGCTGTCTAATATACGGTTCTATCTTGATGTCAATTAACAACACGGGCATTTTATCAATTATCACGCACAAAAACAGCAATTATTTGCTCGAATTGACAGGCATAAAAATGATCAATATCAATTTATCTCCTTGGAACAACATGTTTTATGATGTATAGTCCTTCTCAGTTACTTCAGCCTCATCATGGTTCAATGCAAATGCACGCTCAAAATTCTACAGCCGGGCTTAATTTAATCCCCCGAAACCTCCTTTCACAACCCCCATTCACACAGCAACAACAGGTACACAGTATGCTCCCAACTAACAACATAATAGGCCCTACTGTGCCTTATATGAACGGCAACAGTGCTTTTTCACCACCTAATTTGAATATACTTCAACAACAGCAACACGCACAGCCCTTGGGACCAGCCGGCTTAGCAAGCGTAGTGCCCCACAGAATCTCGCCCCACTATTTGCAATCAGCCCACCAAATGACCGCTCAGCAGGCCCAGGGTTCAGTTATAGTGTCCCCTACTCAAGTTCAACTGAATCATCAGGCCCAATCAAGTCAGCCAATGCTTACTGATTACAGCGACCAGTTGAATTGGCTCAAAAACGAACTCAAAGTTAGTAGAAAGCTGATAAATTCTAAGGATCTGTAAAAAGGGGAAATCGTTAATAGGTTCAATATTAATGCATTATGCGAATGCATGAACGTTCAATGTTGAATTAGCTTTTTCTTCAAAAGAGGGGTAATCTTTACCAAAATCCATAAGAGAGATCGTTAAAGCTATTTCCTCTTAATACCAACAGAAAAATTCGTCGTGTTAAAAATACACAAAAAAACAAAGATCTGATAAATTTTTTTTCTAAATACGGGTTTCTAAAAAAACTCAAAACAAATTGAGTCTGGTATTTGTATTTACAATTTGCCACGGGTTAAAACTTTTGGTTACAGTAAAATTGACAAGAAATGTAAGAATAATGAATATTTGTTGGCAAGATGTATATCACAACACGCCATTTTTTAACTTCTTATCTTAATTGACCCGTTCATTTTAGATAAAAGAGGCAAAATTAGACGAATGCCAAATGAGCATAAAGAGTTTCTGGAATCCAGAACTGAAGAAAGAGAGAATGGCCAGGATGGGCGACAACGAAAAATATCAGCACTTGAAAGGAAACTACGACAAACTTCTCAACGAAACAGATCGCAACTCAATTATTATCCAGCAATTACACGAAGAGTTGCAGAACCAGCGAAACTCGGTTTCTTTGACCGAGAACGACGGGCGAATAACTGCTTTGAAAGTACAGTTAAGTCAAAAAGAAAACGAAGCGTTTCTGCTTCGAAAGACACTCGAAGAAATGGAACTTCGCATAGAGACTCAAAAGGAAACACTTGCATCTAGAGATCAGTCTATTAAGAAGCTGCTAGAAATTATTCAAGATAGAGGACTTGCGAATAGCATGGAAACGAACTTAGACTACAGCCAGACCAAATTACGAAATGTTGAACTTGAATCGCAAATGGGCGAAATGTCCGCCAAGTTAAACTCGAAAGAAAAAGAGGTCAACAGCCTGAAAGCTGATTTGCTACATCACTTAGAATCATCATCAGCATCCAATGCTGTAAATCAGGTAATCCAAGTTGGTCATTAGTTGGTAGGTCAGCAAATCGGTGTTTCGGTGTTTCAGCAACTTAACTTTCGATTTTCCGAGAAAACATAGCCAACTGACAATTGCATACGAGTAATAAGCGCAAGAAAACAGAAAAAACGGACTTGTTTATTGAAAAAAATTAAATTTTGAATTTTAAAGAAGATCAATGCCTTTAACAATCTGAGTTTCACGAACAAATAACGTTTTTTGCATTTTTGATAAAATTGAACCAATTTGAGAAAACTGGATCGAAAAAAAAATTATTTCGCTGGGAAATCTGAAAGTTTAATTTCCCTTTCAAAAATAGATTTCGTGAACTTTACACTTTTGCTACTCGTTAGTGGAGTTTGCCTTAATCTTAACAAAGGGCATGAACTGAACTTGAAAGGAAATCAAGATTCAAACCGCGAAAAAAAATTGTGCGTGAAAAAATTTTAAGTCTTTCCTTTAAAAAAATCACCAGTACCTATATAAGAGTAATCACTACTTTCATTACTCTTTTAACTAGATAGCCTTAGAGCTCTTTGAATTGATAGAACAATTTATGACTGACACTTTGGTAAAATTAATCCAATTTGAGAAAACTGGAACAAAAGGTTTTTTTATTTCGCTGGGATGTCTGATAATGAAATTCCGTTTTCTAAATTAGAAGTCACTCACATTTTTGTGTTCTTTACATTTTCGCTGTTCGATAGTGGAGTTTGCCTTCTTTTTAACATAGGAAAAAAACTGAACTTAAAAAGAAATCAAAAGTCAAACCGCGAATACATAAATTTGGGCCTGAATAAATTTCAGGACTTTTCCTGAAAAAAAATCAATGCGACCTATATAAGAGTCTGAATTACGTTCATCGACTCGTGATAAAACTAACTCCATTTTAAAACAAATCAATCAAAATGAGCTTTTTCTTTACCGCAGGCAAATCTAAATCCACTTATGAAACAAAATCATTTCCGTTTTCCACATTTTGCACTTTCATCATTGAGGAGCGTATTTTGAGTAATTCAATTTGAACTGAATTTAAGAAGACATCAAAAGTGACTTTAAAATTAAATTGATTTTAACTGAATATGCATGCAATAATTGGTATAAAAAAATTTAACCAATTTGAGAAAACAGGATCAAAGGTTATACTTTTTTATTCCGTTGGAAAATCTTTAAAATGAAACCGAGTTTTGAAACTAAAAACAAATCAATTTTTTGCGCCATTTGCATTTTCGTTATAGGAAAGCGTAACTTGATTTCTTGTGAGAAATTAGGTTTGAATTTAGAAAAAACAGAACCGCAAAAAAAAAACAATTTGAGAATGAACAAATTTTTAAACGAACATAATAAGTGTCTTCGCTTTGTTCATCGACGCTTAAAAACTCAGAAATGAACGACCAAAGTATAAAAATGAGCTTGCTCAAGTTTCACGAGCATATATAAAAAAAAACCACGAAGAAACGATTAAGGTTGCATAACATAGTTTAACATCACATTTACGTATAATGCATTTTTTAGCATTATGTTTACTTAAATTTCGGCTTGAAGACAATTCATCTTGTTAACATACTAGCCCCCACGAAAAATAACAGAACCTAACTACAGGCGATAGATAAGGATCGTCAGTTAATTGCTGGCAAGGTTTTTTTTCGATAACTCTTATCTTCAATCAAATAAACTCAAATTCACTTAAATCTAGGATACATAAAAAAATTGATACATACCAATTTAAACCAGCCCTTCGCTGATTCTCTACAAAATTCACAAGAATTATACCGGTTTAGACTTTTTTTACAGCCCGTTGGTTAATTAATTTTAGCGCTCTATAGCTATGGTTTCAAATCGTCTGAAAAGCAATCCTTTTTTGAAAAGAGGTTGGGTGGTATTAGTCTTATTAGACCCAAGCATCTCTACGGGTTTTCCTCTTGTCATCTACTGTCACGGAGGAAAAAAATGTGCATTTATTTTTCCTATTCCAAATAAAAGCTGAAAATAATGCATCCTTATCCGCGATACGCACACGCTCTGTACCAACAATTGCCATTTTATGTTTCATACTAAGAAAACGTCCTGTTTTTGAATTATCCTTTTTCTGAAGGGAAAAATTTTGCAACAAAGCACAAAAATTTAATACACAGTTTGGGGTAAAAAACAAACATTTTGATACTTCAATTGCAAAATTGATTTTTTATTTTATTTCATCCTTGTTTCGATCTGCAGTTTGGTGGGAAAATAATTATGCATTAGGGCATGTTTTCTAATTAATTTAAGCAATTAAATTCAAAGCAATGCATAAAATGATACTAATTAATACTAATAGTAGGCGCAAAGAAGCAGTTTTCAAGATGATTGATTTTGAGAATTGTAGTATTTTGTTTTATAACTCAAAATACTGAATGCAAATTAAATTAAATCCAATACAACATTATTTACTAGGGCGCTGAAAAATTAGAGAGAAAACATTAAGAAAAATAGTAAAAACTGACGGTTGCTGGGCAATTAGCACGGAATGTTCCGACCACTATGATTACGGCGAAGAATTTCGAAAAATGATTTTTTCTAAATTAAAAAAAATTAAGAACTTTTTCTTTCTAGTGCTCTCATTTTCAAATATCCTATTATTTTGTGTTAATGAGGCAAACAATGGGCGTTATTCGGCCATTAGCGTTACTCAACACAGCTTTACTTCGGTGCTTACCAATAATCAATCCCATGTTCCGTTTAGACATCGTCGGGTGCATATAGCGCCTCGGCCGTAGAGCTGAATGCGAAACTACAGTCTTACGAAGCGGTTATCGAAAACAAAGAAGACTCGATTAGAAACTTGCAACATCGGGTCGACTTTTTAGAGGAAGAGATTAATAAATACAGAATTAGCAGTGGAATTAAAAACATGAGCAGCCTTGACAACTTCAGCAAAAGTCAAATTTACGGGGAACATTTACACTTCCTTAAAACGAAGGTAGAGCAACTTCGAACGGATATTTCCAGGAAGGACTCCGAACTAATCACCGTTCAGACTAAACTCGACATTCTCACCAAACAGAACATGGATTACACCAGTCATATTAACGTTCTGCGAGAAACTCTTTCGGCTAAAGAGCAGCAAAACACATCGCTTAAAGCCGACTTAGATGCGGCCAGAACACGAATTCAGGAAAAACAAGTTCAGTTACAGAAGAAATCTCAAGATTTCGACCACTCCCAGTTGGAAAGATCGAACTTCGAGCAAGAGCTCAGAGATGTAGTTAGAAATAAAGAAAAGAAGGTCAACCAGCTGGAGAGAAAAGTTTCCCAGTTAGAGGACCAAGTTCGAGATCGGGATGATCGGATTCAATCGTTGTCGGCGAAGCAATCTGTCGGTTCGGTGAGCCATACCGAGTTAGTTGAGACACTTGAAAAGACGCTAGGAGAAAAAGAACATCAGGTGAGTCCAGCGAAATTGCTTTTAAATTAATTCTAACTTCAGTTTGCTTAAACAGCAAACTCCTCAAACTAATGCTGCTTTTTGCAAACATAAGCAGAAAACTTCCAATGTCTTTAAAAGCAACAAAAGACAAAATTAAGCCCCTAACATTCTAACGCACTCAAGTTAAGTGATCATATTTGCTCAGGTTCAATCTTTTAGTACACAATTGTGCGCGTGAGTTCGAACCCCACTCATGTCGAACACTTTTTTTTACTCTAGATTGAGAGCATGAAAGAACAACGCGAAAAAGACATGAAAGAGCGCGTTGAAGAAGTGGACTTGTACTCGCGAATCAGCAAAGAGCTGCAGGGTAAGAACGAGGATCTGACGAATCAAGTTTCCGACAAAGAAAGCCAATTGGTCGACACTAATGAGAGGGCTTCCAGTTTAATGGTGGCTAATATGAAGAAGGTAAGTAATTGAAACACTATAATCTACCGCGAACTTCTCTGCTTCACAGACAAGAGATAAAGGGTTCGAAGCCAACCATGTTCTATTCTCACCATATCAAAATTTTAGGAGCAGATTGTTAAAAAATACATTTTTCCTCGCCCGAAGATACAAGTTTTTGCTATTTAGAGACATCTTGTTAGATAATAAGACGATAAACAAAACACATTAAACACAGGAAGCTTGAGAGCTGCAACTTTAGGACTGTTTAGGACTCCCAGATAAAGATGTTGAGCAACAACTTAATGCAGAAACAGGACGACCTGCTGGAGCTAGAGAAGAAAGTTCGCAAACTGAACGAGGAGAAAGTTTCACTGGTCAAGGAGAAACAAGACATGCATAAACAGATAGAACAGCTCGAAGAACAGGTCAACATTTACTACATTTAATTCCATATCAGTGGATTTGATTTGAAGCCTAGCCCAAATCTGAAACCCCAGCTAAACAAGACGAGCTACAGCACAAAAATATTTCATCTACCAAGTTTTAAAAAAAAACTCCCACCAAAGCAATTTAGAAAATTATCTAGACATAGACAATAAACCGATCTGGGTTTGCAAATCTATTTTGATTCGACTGACCACAAAACTCGTTGTCCTGACCGGACAATACGACAAGCATGACAATGAAGTAAATAATTGCCGACTATTTCAGGTCAACCACTACATAGACGAGCTGGCCAAAACTCAGAGCCAGTTGGACAAAATGAGCGAAGTAGTGAGGCGGAGCGAACAGGAGAAGAAGGTGCATGAGCGAAGAGTGAGTGAGTTAGAGGTCAATCTTAACAGTGTGAAGGAGCGGTTAAGTGGGATCAAAAGAAGCAAAGATGACGAGAGGATGTTCAATGCGCAGCTCCTCAATGATGCTCGCAAACGTGAAGGTTACAGTTTGTCTTTTTTCCACCAAAAGAACTATTAGTTACTAAAAAATATTGATGCTGAGCGTCGGAAAGTTTTGATCTTTATCTTAAATTAGTAAAAACTGGCGTTAAAATTAAACATAAAAAAATTGCTGTCATAGAAAACAAACGCTAACTAAACTTAAAAAACGTATTTGCCCGAAAACATCACGATTTTTTTCTAAATTTTAAGAACGTTCATTAAATTTCTTTCATTAATCATTTGAAAACCAAAAAAACCTTCACAGTACCAAGTTGTCTTTCAAAATGATCATCACAAGAACAGCTGCGGCAGTTCTTTGAGTGCCAATAGAGAAGCTCAGTAACATACAAAAACTGAAAATAGTCTACGCAAACCTAACGCAAATTGAATTTTCAAAGAACTTGGATAAAAATTTCAATAACTTCGGGTGTATTGCAGGTGAGGTAATTCACGACGTGCAAGAATTGCAGGAAATGGTGACTGAGAAAGAGAGAAGAATCATAGAGTTGGAACAGGCACTGGGCGAGACTGCCAAGATCACAGTTGCAAGAGAAGCTGCACTGGACCAGCACCACCTGGTCACTAACCATGCACAACACAAGGTAACCCTTTTTTAAGACCATTTTATCCACGAGGGAAAGGACCAACATTCGAGCTGCACAGCTCATCACGGCGAACCGATGTTGTGTCCCCACTTAAGAACTATATGCATTTTTTGGTTATTTTTCTGTAGAGGTTAAGGAATCGAGACTCACCCTAATGTGTGATTGGCTTTTGTACTTGAGGCAATGTTTACCAGCCCAGAAAAACCAAAAAAAAAATGGGTGAAGGTTTCATACCAAGAGCTTACCAACAGGAAAGGTTGTTATAAGCCAAAAGGACCTGAAGTACAGAGAGCAACCAAAAACATAGAAATTTTGTCTGGAAATAACTCATCTGGAATTCTTTTGGTTTTAGATTGAGCAGTTGCAGTTTGACAACGAGGACATGCAAAAAGCACTTAGCATCAGCAACAAGAAACTAGCCGACTTGGCATTCCAGGTCAGTCACTAATCATATACTAGAGAGCGAAAGATGTTTTATTTATTGTATTGACGAAGACCTAGCTTAATATGCAAAATAGTGTGTCCAAGGAAACAAATACGTTTGTTAAAAACAATTTGAATAAGCTGCCTGAAAATTGTGTGCATGAAAAAATAACTGAGATTTACATAACGATGAGCAATCATAGTTTTTCAGCAGCTGGTCTCTTACTTTTGAGGTTCAGACTGACATCAAAATATAGATTCAAATATAGATATTGCAAAACAATAAAAAAACAGCAAAACTCAAAAATTTCAATAAAAAATGGCTTTTTGAAAATAGCAAAGAAAAAACTCTTTGTCACGTTAAAAATCTTCAAATTTCAAGAATCTTTTGTGATTGACACTTTCTAAATAATAATGGATCAATAGATATTTATTATTCATTACGCTGGGAAATTAAAAATTTAAATCCTATTCCGTAACCAAAAGTTATTCACAATTTTTTGCGCCGAATGTATTGCGCCAAATATAGACGTCTGCGAAGTTGACGAACACAATCGATTTTAATTTACATGAAGTAATGAAATTTTGGTCATTTTCTTTATACGCCACATTCATTCCGAAATTATCAATGAATTAATAAAAAATTGACTCAGGGTGAAAAACTTTCCAAAAACTATGGGGCCAGTCTTAGCAAAGATAAAAATAGCTAAAAAAGAAACACCAAGATAAATTTGGAAAGAAAGCGTGAAAATCTGAAAGAAAGTTAACATTTCCAGGGACTTAATATTGATATTGGCCTCATACAAAAAAGACAGAAATATGCAAAAATTTCAAATTGTCACTAACCGCCGCCGAATTGGAACAGATTAAATATTTCAAGGGTTTCGTTATGAAAGAAGCAAAATATTGCTTCATTTAATTCATTTTAATTGAATGGCAATTGATTACTTTAAAAATAGACTTTCGGCTAATTTTCTTTTCGATGCTTCGCCCACGAGTTTTTCGCCCCCGTCTAATTTCCTATTACAGTTTTGCATCTACGTTTAATTTCATTTTTTGGGCACGTTTGATTTGCTTCTTGTCTTATTTCCTAGACCCCTCTAGCAAAACATTATTTTTTGAAAAGTCATTGTTGATTAATAATCAGAGATGCTCGCAAAAGCATGCTTTCAGCCTAATCGGTAGAATCGAAAATGTATCTGTTCAACTTTATAGACGTTAATTGTAGAGCAAAATTTGCGTTTGTCCTGGCAAATGAATTTAAATTAAAGTTAAGAAATCAAAGCAAAACCTCCTAAAAGCCAAATTTGCGCTTCAAAAGCCAAATTTGCGTATGAATTTTTTGAAAAAAAAAAAACGAAAACCAACACGACCTATTTAAGTGTCTTCCCTACGAGCAAAGGAACAGCAAATCTATCCATGTAAAACTTCTTATCAAACATGTTTTTCACTGCTCAGTTAATAGAAATACCAAAAGCTTCGTTCATGAGCAAAAATATTTGCACAGATCACTGAAAAGGAGGCGAAAATCCAGCAACTGCAGATGGATCGGAAACGACAGATCGAAGAAGTTTTGCAGATGAGACAAGATGTCATTCTAGCCACTATCAACGAGAAACAGGCCAACATAAGTCTACTAGAGGTATTTTTATCTGCTGTTTTTATTATCGAGCTCCACAATTTTTACTATCTAACTCTTTCTTCGAAACCTCTAGGCTCGCGTCTTAATCAAGAAAATTAGGGTAGAAATTCTAATTTCCGCCCTATTTGGAAAAAGTGAAAGTCATTTACAGGGATGAAATTTGTGTACTTCTTTTAGTTAGCGAAAAATAGTTTTCACGATTCATAGAACAATTTCCCTCATGAAATAAAACCTACTTCGTGTATGAACAGTAAAATAATTACAGTGTCCATTATGCAGCAAAAATTATTTGGTTTCTCTTTCGTCAAAAACTAGGTAACCATGTCTTTATTTTAACAGGCGGCTGGTAATATGAACCCCGTTGTCACCCGTGACTTGAAAAAACTTCACGAAGACAAACAAAAACTGTTACGTCAACTAAATGACATGAACGAAAAACGAGTGAAGATGATCCACGCACTAGAAAACAAGTTCAGCGGAAAAACCAAACCTCGAGGTAAATTAGAAAGAACTCACTATATGCACATGTAATCTCCGTTTATAAGTGTTTTCGTAATAGATAACGGTTATAGGTTCATAATTTGAATAAACGCAAAAAAAAATCATATATTCCGAACCTATACAGCTCGATGGCTGTCGAAATGATTCTTTGCGATCTTCTCTTAACTGGTACTCTCGAAAGTATAGAAACATGAAAGCCATTTTTTCAATTAAGATGAATTTATAAGGTTTGCAAAAGTTCATCTATGCAAAATTTACATAATCTATGCAAAATTTAGATTCAAGCATAGCCAACAGAAAATGGAAAATAATCAATGAACGCAAAAGAAACGGAAAAAAAAACTTATTGGTTTTTTGAAAAACTTCAAGTTTCGAATTTCCAACAAAAATATCTGGCATAAAGCTCTTCGAATTTCAAGAGCAATTTATTTTGGCACTTTTTTGATAATTTAAACCCAATTTGAGAAAATCATCACGACCTATATAAAGGGCTGAACTACGTTCATCGACTCTTAAAAATGTTTCTGTACAACTTTTCTAGAACTTACTTTTTCAACAGTTAATTCATCTTACTCCGATGAACTGCTACAGTGATTAAAACCTCGTTTAATAATTGTTTTAACTTAAGTTATCGTAATTATTTCATCATTTTTCAGGTCTCGAGGAAGACGGTGTTTGGGCCTAAACAGTTGGCTACAGTAAATCAAAACTTAAGTCCTTAGCAAGCAATTCACATTATATTTATGACATTCTGCAGCTACTTAATTTTCAGGTGAAATTCAAAATATTCAAAATGCATTATATATTTCTCAAATAAATTATTTCTGAATGTATACTTTTTCTTTATATTTGGACACATCTGTAAATAATTCTCAAATTAGGCAATAAAAATTTCAAACTGTCTATTTTTGGCTTCAAAACGATATTTGTTGAATGATACCAAATTCGAATCGTCCAAAAACTTAGGTAGTGAGAGGAGACAACGATTTTTTCCGAAGCGGTCATTACCAATAAAATATTTTTTTAAATGACTCACCAATTTTAACATAAACTGCCATAATAAGCTGCAAAATAATAATGTTATTGCGTGTCTTCATTTTCAGCGGATTTTTCCGCTTGAGGCTTCGAATGAAGAAAAATGTATCAAGAGAGAATATAACGCAGCCAGCGGTTTGAATAATCGTTTTATTGAAAGGATTTGGCGAAAAATTTATTACATAACGAGCCTTCTAGAGTAATTAAATACTAAAAGGTGCAGTCTAAACACACAACGCAGTTTATCTTTTTGAAAAAGTTAAAAATTCTTAATTTGACCGTGTTTAGATATGGTAGAGCTCATTTGAGAATGCTTCAAGTCGATAAACAGCCAAAACTTTTTGTCACTTCATTTTTACGATCGCTTGAATTACATTCATCTTATTGTAAGTTTTGATTTGGAAGAAGGATTATACCACACAATAAAAATGCGACCAAATCAAGTAATTGGCGCGTTGAGATTCAACTCATCAATAAAACTCGAGAAGTTTTAACAATCTTACAGGTGTACTTGTAATTGAATTGTAGAGCCATCAAAAATAAAATAAAAATATAACTAGCTCTTGTAATTTTCTCATTTACAGCGCTCATTTGCCAATTAAATAATTAAACACTGTGTTATAAATCACAGCCAAAAAGAGAAACAAAAACAATGCGTTAGTACGCGTTGGTCAAGCAGCAAAGCTTCTGTTGGACAGATCCATTTAACCAAGCGTGAGTTTAAAAACGTGATTTTGATTTAAACAGAATCTTCATTGATTCTACGAACAACTCAACCTTACAGGGAATACCCAGTAATTTAGTAGTGGTGCTTTCTCAAAAAAAAAGATTTTAACGAGGTCATTATTTTTCACTTTTTCAACAATGGAACCCAATGAAACCCAATTAGTGCGAAAGTTTCTTGGACGCAGGAAATTTTGAACTTCATAATGCTCTTGGGGAAATAAGACGAAAACTCTACTTTCTATTAAAAAAACAATCTATTGATTAAAAAAACAATCTATCTCTTTACCGCACTATTGACTTGAAATTGTATGTTTCGATACGTTAAAACATCGAAAAATGGATCTATAGATTTAAATTTTAAAAAACTGCAAAAAGGAGAGGTGAAAATATGTTAAAACATAACCAACAGATATTTGGAAAAGTGTTACGACCAAGGAAAAGAATAAAATTTTTGAACATTTTTCACCTTCCCCATGTCCAAAAAATAAATCACATTAAAGCTCTTTGAGGCGTTAAAGCTCTTTAATTTACATTAAAGGCACCTTTTTCTTAACTCTATTACATTCAAAGAAACCTAAAAAAGGGTAATATTTTTTATTCTGCAGAGAATTCAGAAAATTAAACTCCATTCAAATTTTTGACATTTACACTACTATTGTTTGATAGTTGATTTACCTTAATAAGAAAACAACGGTCAAACCGTAAAAATAATCGCATTTGAGCGTGAACAAGTTTTATGACTTCCTGAAAAAAACCATCACGAACTAAATGAAAGATAATGATTACTTTCACACTTAAGTAAAATCCTTTAATTAACTAGTTCTTTAGTCTCTCAGGTTTCTGATACTCTCGCCCTACGCTAATTTGTCAGAAAAAAGCAAAACTTGAAAAAATAATTTCTCCGCACTTAGTTTTTTTTTTGGTAATATGAATTGCGACTGAAAGGAGCTGAAAATAACAGTGACTCATTTCCTTGAAGTTTATTTATATCCAGGAACCTGGATTAAAAGTATTTAAAACTTCTAATTCTTCAAACAAAAACCACTTTATAACACTAACAAAGAGAACAGCTTCTATTTACTTTTCGGAAATTAGGATTTGAGTTAAGAAAACAAAACCACCGTATAGGCAAGTTTTGGGACTTAATTTATCAAAAACAAAAACAATTGTATACGCAAGTTTCGAGACTAAATTAATCAAAAACGAAAAAAAATCCAAATTTAAAAATGAAATAAACAAACATAGCCAAGTGGGAAAAGCGCCGAGGACAAGGAGACTGAAAATCATATTTAAACTTCAACAACTAACTTTTTAAAGAAATTCAAATTTCATCTTAAACCTTTTCAAATTTATAGCATCTTTTAGGATTAACACTTACTTGATACAAACTAATTCATTTTAAGAAAACTGGATGCATAGGTACTTTTATAAATTCTATTGGGAAATTAAATCCTTTTCGAAACTAGGTCATTCGCGCTTTGGCGCCACATCACCAACCCATCTTCGCAATTAAACACAATATTCTTCAATTTTTTTCAAACTTTCAACAAGAATACCCGGTCGCTGAAATGAAAACAATCGTCACGACCGATATGAGTCTAAACTACGTTCATGGACTCCTAAAACAACATCTAAAGCCAAATTTCATTTCTTGATATTAAATTTGAAGAGGTGATTACAAACAAACACAAGGATAGCCGGTTCCTGAACAAGTAGCAGAGGATGTTTCGACCCGCATGCTTACGTGAAAAAGCTGGCCTATTTTCCAGATACCCTATTTTTAAAGGGTGAATTAATTTACACAGAGGCCAGACAAGGAACAGAAAATAAAACTATGAAGAGGAAAACCTAAGTAAAAAAATATGTAGTTGAAAATTGAAAGTTTTTTGAAAAAGAAAATTCAATTTCAGAAAAACAGGCGAGAACCACAACACCAGCATTAAATAAGATTTCTGCATCTTCCGATTAACGTTAAGTTTTCACACCAAAAACTATTTTTACTATTTTTTAACATCAGAATCAACTTTTGCTCCTCAAACAGCACAAAATACGTAGATAGGCTTCTTATAACCATTTAATCGAAAATAATAAAAAGAATTGATTCAAAATCCGATTTTTTAAATTGCCAAAATGTCAGGACGAACGTCAATTATAGCAGAAAAAGGTTTAAATCAGAAAATGCCCATGTTTTGAAAATGAAGCCGACAAAAACTAAGCAGACAAACGAAAGTCTATACCACTGGTAACACTTATTGATGATATATTACCATAGGTGGCAATTGTGAGAACTACTTGAGCAACTACAATGCATAATATAGTCAATTCATTTTCAGTCAAATTTAGATGCTACTAAGATAATTTTTATAACACAATTCTGCCAGATGAAATTTTATCCGAAAATTTAATTTTACTCTTCTTTTACCAAAAAATTTTTGACTGAAATAAATGACACATAGTGTACGAAATATAATAAAAAGCGATTCAGATACTCAATTTAAAGCTGCCACCAATTGTATTATATATCACCCACTTATTTTCATGCATCGAGAAAACTGACAGCTGCGCCTTATAGTTCAGCGGTTTTAACTTATGCAGTTCAAAATCTCGAGGAAACTGCAATGAAATTTACTATGCACACAAAGCTAACAGGCAGTTGGAAAAGAGTAAATGAACGCAAGAAAACGGAAAACAGGACTTGTTTTTTAAAAAAACTTCAACTTTCGAACTTCCAAGGAAAAACTGAATGGCCTTAATTTCAAAAACAATTTATAATTGACATTTTTTAGATTAAATTAACTCATGAAAAAATCATCACGACCTATACAAATGTCTTCACTACATTCATCGACTCTTAACAAGGCGACGTAAAATATTAGAAAATATTAGAAAACTTAATGAACACAATTAAGCAAATGCTCACCGTCCCCGAAGAAAATTTCAAGCCTTAAAAGTTTCCTTCAAGGACTTAGGATTTAGGGACCCAACTATCATACTTGTTCCGAAATCAGTTTTTTATACCGTAAACTGCTGAAATTATAAACTAGTTTCAATACCCAACTGCTTCGTTTGAGCCAATACGTAATTCAAAAAACTTGAAATCACGCAGCGATCTCAATGTAAATAGTACGCCATATCAACACGCATGTAAATTGAGCATTCTCTCTTTTCGCAACTTGGCTAACTGGGTTACCCACGGTTTTAATCAGTAAAACTCTATGTCCGCTACCAGTAGCGTTGAACTCCATAGTCAAATATTCCATGTTCAACTTTAAGACATCCTTTATAAGCAATCAGATACCTTCAAACCTACTAGATGATTGGCACGTTTTTTTGGTATTATACGGTTTTAATGGCAGATAAATAACCCAAAAAAAAAACGTTGATCGCGACAATATCAGCTCAGTTGAAATGTAATACAGAGTTGGGCAACAATTCGTAACAGTTGACAATTTGTATCAATGCTGGTAGCAAGTAGTAATCGTGTGTCATGTATGGTCCGCTTGAATCAGTTCAATCTAATGGTATAATGGTCGCTTGCACGAATTGTATACCCAAGGTGTATATAGAACGCCTGCTTGTTGTTTTTTTATTTCAAATGTTTACCTGTTTTGCACAGACATGCGTGATCTTCTTCCAGGTCGAGACAAACTGCGTCGTTGAAACAAGCGTCTTCAGCTTCGCAGTCATCAATGTTTACTTCGCAATTGAGGCCACTGAAACCTGTGTAAGAAAGCCATTAGTTCATTCATATTTATCATGCTATCAACCCTATTTCAATAAGAGATAAAAATTGAAGATAAGCAAACCTGGTTGCTATATCCAAAAAAAGGACATTGGTTAAAGATAACCGCTACTTAACTAAATTAAGATTATATAAACAAATTAAGATTCAATTATTTACAAAAAAAAGCTGAATTTCGAAACTCTGAGTTCGACAAAGACTGTATGCTATTAACTGCTGATTGGCTAAATGAGAGTAGACATAGTTGAAAAATAAATCAATCTTTATAATTCAGTATTCACAACTTCCGGAGTCTCAAAAAGCAGTGTTCCGGTCCGGGTCCTTCGTTTTTTAATTTTTTATATAAATTAACTTTCAACGCCCAATTCTTTGTATTGTAATGACATAAAAGCTATTTCCCAATCGGATCTCGAATCAAATCAATTAAATATGAATAGCCAATCACAACGGCGATTTTCAACAACCTTTTTTTTATCCATCAAAAGCTAAACTTTTACGTTTCGGCAACAATTCCCACGATTTTTCCATTGATATATTGTCACTTGAATTAGCCAATTTTATCAAAGACATCGGTGTTATTGCCCCTAAGTGCTATTGCTACTTTTAAAAATTCATGAAACAATACATTGCACAAGGCTTTACGAAGTCTTGGCGAAAAATTGGAGAAATAATCAATTCCACCAATATTGTTAAATCACTCTGCTGCTTGGTGTCCGCCAATATATTGTTTACAAAATGTGTAGTTTTCAGCGGTGAGTTACGAAATGGATTACTGGTAATGAGGATTGTTATGATAATTCCTTGTTGCACAAAAAGCTTCTACTAAATTGTTTTTGTTGCAACGAATTGACCTCTTGTTGCACGGGAAAATCATCAAACATAGCCAACTGACAGTTGGAAAAGAGTAATGAACAGAAGCAAACTGAAAAAAAAACTGACTTGTTTTTTCAAAAACCTTCAACTTTTGAATTTCGAAGAAAAAAAATAGATGGCCTTAATGCTCTTTGAATTCTTAGAACAATTTATGATGGACACTTTTTTTTTGCTAAAATTACCCCATTTTGAGAAAACTGGAACAAACGGTTAATCTTTTATTTGGCTGGAAAATCTTAAAATTAAAATCCACTTTGGAAACTTAAAGTTGATCACGTTTATCGTGACCTTTACACTTTTGCTGTTCGATAGTGGAGTTTTCCTTCTTTTTAACACTGGAAATGCACTGAACATAAAAAGAAATCACAAGTCATACCGCGAAAAATTAAAACTGAGCGTGAACAAATTTAAAAAAAAAACAAAAAAAAATTACCAAGACCTATATAAGAGTACTCACTATGCTCATAACTCTTAGAAAATCTGTTGTCTCAGTTGTGACAATTGAAGCACGCGAACCTCAAATCAATCTCATGTCAGCTAAGAATGGACGAAATGAATGGAAACAAAAAATCTGATGTGATGAACTGCTTAGAGCCGCAAACGAGTTGCTCGTGTGTATGAACAAAATCAGCTTTCATGAGGCTAAAGAGTGCTTGGATGATTTTTATTTTGGTGAATTGCATCATTTGATGTTAAAATTTCATGTGTTTTTTTTCTATCAAATGCCACTGCATTATAATAAATCCTCCTCAATTGATTACTAAGTAAATTGTTCAGTAAATCATTCTAAGAAAATAAAGAAGCATATGTGTTTCCTTTCTTGGAAGAAAGCATTTAACCGTATGGTACAATCGCATTTTGACGAGGAAAAGGGACAAATGTTTACCATACAAAAACCGCTCTTTTCTAGTTCCCCTGTTTGAGTTTCCGTTTCAAAATGACTTTAAAACTCCAAACTGCAGAAAAAATGTCACCGAACAAGGTTAGAGATTTCACCAAAGCTTGTCGCAAACAAGTGGTTGTTTTAACAATTTCTAGACTACCAAATATATAGCAGTGCTGGATGATTATTTACCTGGAGGACAAGAGCATTCGTAGCCTAGGACTGTGTTGAGTTTATCTGAGCAGATTCCACGGTTGTAGCAAGGGTTAGAGCTACACTTTGACTGCCAGTAGCACTTGTCATCCACTCGTTCCGTCGCCACCACATCTGCAGAAACAAGCTTCGTGTGAGATATCATTGAAGTATATTTATAAATACGTCATTTAAAACCATGTGAAAAATCAACTCAAACTCTATACAAGAAACTGGAAAAAGCTAGTAGGCAAAATTAAAACCTAATTAAATGTAATATTTTTGATTCGAAATTAGGTTTTTTGCTCTATCCCTTGGATTTAAAATCCTTTTAGATCGCTTTAATATTTAACATTGTATGTATCTATCCTTCAAACATACAAACAATGTTATAAATCCCTTCTGATATACCAAAAACTCATTATCAAAATTTGAAAAAACAATTCAGATTTTTTTTGCACCAGAGTTCGCACCAGTGCACTTACAATAGCCGATCTCTCCGTTTTGGCAGCCGGGTGCCCTGATATCACAGAATTCACCTCCATATCCGTTTTCACAAACACAGGAACTGTAATTTCGAGGCTCTTCTGATTGTTGCTCGCAGCGACCATTAGAACCACAAAACAGAAGCTCACATGAGTCTGCATTGGATTCACAAGGAGCACCTGTAATATTCAAGAAAGATTTTTATGACTTGAAAACAAAATGTTTTTGTACTGAGAGCTTTTACAACTTATTTGCGAAACATTTAAAAGCCTCTTTCGTCAGCAGTGAAGCGAGAATGCCATAAATAAAACTTGTTCACGTTTTTTGTCACGTCGAATTAAACTAAAACCAACCAGCTTCAAATAAAAAGTCAACTAAAAATAAAACTTTCAAGCGATTCAAAAAACTCAAAATAATTCTATAGAGCGCACGATTTGCAGATTTTTAATTTTTTCCTTCTTGCGTCTAAAACTTTTAGACAGTCTGCAAAAACATGCACACTACAGCTTTTTTCAATAAAAAGAAAACGGCAAAAAATGATATTCAATCTACAAAAATTCTCCGGTGTGTGCTAGGTCTCCATTTAAAGCCGGCGGTTGTCTTGCTATGAACTGTAACATGTGTCAATTAGCTCTAGCCGTTTGGAGCTCTGATTGCGAATAAACTCTTCCTGGTGTTCAAGTCCACTTTTTCCAATATTACTTTTTTCCTTTTTAAGTATATTTCGTTTGACACTTCTTTCTTAGAAAACTCAACATATTTTGTACAGTTATATCATCCTCTCTCTTTTTATTCGGTAAGCGCAAAATCATACAGGGGAGCGCAAAATCATACTCGGACTGGGTTTATGGAGCTTCCCAAAACGGCCGGATTGCTACGTCTATTAACCCTAATACTTCCCCTTCGCGCCGGCATAAACCCCAAACACGGATGTGAAACCTGCTCCCCATTTAATCTCAAAATCCTCCGTTTCCAAGCAAGCGTAAGGTGCCACGTTAGTGGATGAATTCAATTTAAATGCAGTGGTATAACCACACTGAAACAACACAAGAGGTTTTCACTATCACCTGCACAGCTGATTATATTTTGTCAACACCGGTAACAAATTCTACAACAATCCCTCGACCAATCTCTATCACCCTTCAAATACACTTCCACCAGCAACTAACACCCCCTTAATCTCACGCACTAATAAAATTTTAACTATCTGCGGCAAACCGCCCAGTAACCAAGCAATTCCACTCTCACTGTCAACTAAGTCCTGGAATATTGTAGTTAAACTGTAATGGCATATCTGGGAAAGCACCTGAAATAGCAGCTTTGCTGTGTAAGTGCCACATCCACATTGTGATTTTTCGAGAAACCAAATTGAATTCCAAAAACTGCACTCCCTCGTTATGGCCTAACTACACATTACTAAGTAAAGACCGACCGCGAGAGGGAGGTGGCCTTCTCACCGCAATTCACAACCCTCTTCTGTACGATGAACAAGAAAAAGTGGAAGGCGGAACTCTGGAGGCGCAAAGCGTTAACATAAAGGCCAACATTCAAAATCTCCGGGTCATGAGCTTCTATATCCCTCACCACAGCAGCTGTCCTAAGGACTACAAAGCTTGAATATCAACTCTCCTCTCAGAAGAGAATAGCATTGCATTAGGCAATGCAAACGCGCACTACCCACTTCGGTCCTCTAATATACCAGAGAACCGACGCCGGGCAAACCTAGGTGCCAAAAACATTCAGCCCTCTTTCACCCCATTAAAAGATCACCATCAAACTAGACTGTCATATGATAAAAAATCATCAGCATCATCATCTGACTTATCACTCACATCTTTCTTAGTTAAACTTGCATGGCAAACAACTTTTAAACGGGGCTCAGACCACCTACCAACTTTCATGAATCTTCCCATTACCGAGGATATCCTTTTTGCGCCTCATTTTAATAGAGCGGACTGGAAAAGTTTTAAAAACGAAATGGAAGATAATCAAAGAAATCAAAGATACTGCAAAAAAAACCTATGCAGCTAGATGTAAATTGCCCAGAGTGGATTTTCGTGATTAAATCCTTTCTGCAGCCCGTCACTACATTCCTGCAGGCCGTCATCGTTTCCTTGTCCCTGCACTAAATGACGAAGCAAAGAAACTAGCCCAACAAAAAGAAAGTATCCGAATTTTAGATCCTTCCGATCTACTTTTAAACGATTCAAACAGAAGTCATGTTCAAAACGGCCAAAAAAGGCGTGAGTTTCTCCAGGCTAAAATTCATCGCACGTCGTCTAGTAAATGTGAAAACCGGTCAGATCGTTGAATGGCTCTAAGTCAAAATTCTGTAGTACAAACCCAACCTATCAACTTTAATGAGAGAAAGATTTTAAAGGCATAGACATTACGAATGCTTTTAATAAACAAAAAACTACGCTGAAAAGACATAAAAGCAACAAAGCATAAAGAAAAACAAAAAAAATCTCAAATTTAGCTGAGCTGATTCATTAAGCTTTACACCACTCAAAGTGGAAAACTGTATTAGACTGATGAAACCGTCGGAAGCCTTAGGACCAGACCGTTTCTGCACGGTTCATCTAAAATATTTTGGCGCGCTAGCATTTAGCTTTTCAACAAACATTTTGAATCGCTTTGTCTCTTAACATCATCCCCCTAATATGGAAGAATTCAAAAGATGTACTCTTCCCGAAACCTAACAAAGATCTTAAATTCTCAAAGTCCTACTGCCCGGTCTTAATTTTAAGCCGAGCTGTTAAAGTTCTAGAATCGCTAATCCACTCAACCTCAACTAAACATCTAGCAAAATATGCCGGGTAGCTTCCCCAGGTGGTTATCAAATTATATGAGTGGTCGCCAAGCGAAAACACTTTTTCGGCACCCTATCTACATCAATGATTGTACATACAGGTGTCACACAAGGCTCAGTCCTATCACCAACATTATTCTGTTTTACTATTTATGAAGCGCCATTATCTCCCCCCTGAGGTTAAACTACTATCATACGCAGACGATTTCCACCACTTTGAGCAGTCAAACAATCGAAAGGCCTCATCTACCCTATGAAACTACTTAACCAAATCACACCAAATTTTTACGTCCAGATATCTTGAATTTCCTTGATCAAAAGGCTCTGTCAGCCTTTTCACCTAACTGATAAGGAATTCAATGCCGACCCCCCTAGTAAAAATGGACAGTACACCCCTACTCTTCGAGAAGCACCCCAAAAAACTTGGTGTATTCGTTGACCAATCCCTTAATTCCGCAGAGCACTGTAAGCGAATGTCAGCACAAGCTTCGCGCAGGATAGCAATCTTGAAGGCCTTATCTGGGCAAATTGGGGTCTATCAAAAGAGACCTGACTGGTTACCTACAAGGCTTTGTTCAGATCAATTTAAGATTACGGGGAAAAAATTACCAACTAACATGCCTCAATTTATAACGCGGACGTATTTAAACTGTTATACGAAAAAAATGATTAAAAACATCGGACCTTGCCCAGGTTGGAACCCTCTTATTTTGCTGCTGGTCTCCTTCCCTACCTCTACGCTACAGATCCATGATACTTTGAAGCTAAAGTGCTATTTGTAATATAATAGTCTGTGTTAATATCCTAAGCATTCGCGGTACTTAATAGCTGGATCAAAATGAACACTTTCAAAATGAACACATTTTGTCGCAACAATATTTGCGACTTAGGTTGGAAAAAAAAGAAAGTTCATACTATAACACAAGCTATGCTTATGTAAAAACTCAGTATGAGCAATCCGGACGCGTCCCCTCGGGGTTAACAATAACAACAGCGAACAGGTTTTCATTAGCTTATTTCAATGACTAAAAGCTGATAATAGCTTAATTTGTACACAAGTAACGTTAGTTTTTTTGAGTATTTTAGCGCCTTTTTGGAATCACAAACTTAAAATTTCAAAAATGCAAAATAGAAACAATTTTTGACATTTTTGTTTTTCGTTTTTTAGTTGTTTTTCTACAAAAACTGTTTTTCATTGTGCCTATTTTTACTATGACTGTCGAATATGTCTAATCTCTAGTTTTTCAATCAGCTCCTTTTATCACGCCACGCCGAAAAAACTACTGACTTGAAAAAATAAACATTTGTATTTTTCTAAGAATATGGTCGGAACATTGTGCTACGTGCACAGTAACCGACTATCCTTGTTCTTGATTTGTCATTACTGCTTCTTGACAGTCGTTTCACTTTCATCTTTCTCGATGTTGATCGTTTTTGAGGACACGTTTGCGCATATTCTCTAATTTCTAAGCTTGTCGTTATAATTGTGCGCTTGTCGGAAGAAAACTAGCATTTCGGCTTCTTCTCTTCGCACTTATACGATTGCTAAAATTCTTTTTTTGTACTTTTTTTCAGCTTTCTGTTGAGCAAGGCGGGTTGTTATTGCTTCTCAGCGCAATGATTGAATGTTTTAAAACAAAAAACGGTATGATTGTGTCTTTCTCTGTTGGAAAAGCTGCATTGTGTTAAAAATTGTAACATATTAATTTTTTGCGAATGGGCTAAGCAGACTATTTTTCAGACTTTGTTCAATGGAGAACGCCGAGACGTGAAGGGCATGTCTAGTGACGATGCCTCTGTTATGAATTTCATCGGACATCTCAAAGCACCGAATTAAATTTAAAAAATAAAGCCTTCAACCGAACAAAGGGGCTAGAGATGGTTGGGACTATAGTTGTTCTTTCAAATCAATGGATAGCTAATATGTCTCTAGATCATTTATCTGAAACCACGGAATTTAAACAGGGAAGATATATTCAAAAAGTTGATCACAACAATTCAGAAAAATTTTGCTTCTTAACAAAATCAATGAGTCGTGGAATTATTAATTTCAGTATTCGTTTTCGGCTAGTTTCGGAACAGACATAATCGCTTTTTCTACAACTTATTTCTAGTTCCGGTGCATATGAAGCAATTCGTCGTTTTCATCATAGCAAAGAAAGATATTCATTAGAGCAGCTGGAACTGCACTACTTCTGAATTGGTAATATTAACCATAATATGAAGATAATGGGGCGTTTCTTTTCTCTCGTTTCATTTAGAGCACGACAGTACCCAATTTTACCCTGTTGAAGAAAGTGCCAAATTTCATGTTTTACTTACCAAATCGGGAACAATCAATACTGCAGATGTTATGACCACCCAAGATGACGCATGCGTAGCCGTCAGAACAGTCATCAGTGACATCAATACAATCCAAAGACGGCCCGATGAAGCCAAAAGTTTGAAGTTGATCAACATCTGAAATGAGAAAAAACTCATTGTTAACTTTGTATACTTCATAAGATCACGATTAAATTGCCATTTTAATAATGAACAAAAAAACACTTCAATTGCTAAAAGAAATAGTTTTCAGATATTCAAGTGTGAAATTCATATAAAAAAAAGTTTGAGATAAGCGAAATAATGAACACATTAGAACTTTTCAAGGACACCATCACAGATCGAAGCACACAACTTTTCTTAAATGAACTCAAAAGTTTTCCATGATACTTTACCATAAGTTGCCACTGATGAAAATTTTTCAAATAATAATTGAAAATAGTTATTTGGAACCAGAATAAGAAATCGGTCGTTTATAATACTAAAATGATAAAAAAAATTATCAATTGGTATAAGACTACCAAGCTCAATACCTCGGGCTACTTGGTTATATGCTGTGTGAACTAGAGGCCATTAACTTATTTAGATAAACGAGATAAAAGAATTCAAACTGTAAATCACGAACTTTTTGGTACATTAGTGCATCAATGGTTTTGGAAAAACTCAAATTTTACAAAACGATGCTCGATCGTAAAAATATTTTAAGACACTTGACACCAATTGAATTTTGGATGAAAAAGAAATTTCAAAAAATTTTGCAACTTTGTCCATCGCCAGGATTTTTAAAATAAAATCATCTACATCACTATTAAACATCAATTTACGAAAATTCGTTCTAACCACCATGGTGGTGTGCCACGGAGCCGAATGCACGGATAGCCGAAAAATACATTCGTTCCGGATAACCGAAAAATAAATAGGTTCCCGGATAGCCGAATAAAAAAATCGTTTCCGGATAGTCGAAATTTTGGATCTACTTAACAATTACCCCTACCCCCTTACGCATTTCTTAATACGGGGAGGGGGGGATTCGTTAATAGGTTTTATAGGGGGTGGGGGGGGGGTGGTGGCCAGTCAATAAGCAGAATAGGTCCAAGAGCAGAAAAACTTAAATTTTTATAATCTAATCGGTAAGTTAAGTTTAAGAATAGACATTATTACCAAAGAAACTAATATTTTATGCATAATTTGAGTCATTGAATCGAGATTTTCTTATAAAATTTTTAAAAATCATTAATAAAAATTGGTGAAATTATTCAATTCATGCATAATTTATTCATTTTCTTGGTATTATTGACGATTCTGATAATTGTTTTTATCAATTCGACGGTATAAATTAATAAAAGGAAAAACTTTTCTGTTTTCTGCTCTTGTACCCATTCTGCTCCTAGACCATTCTGCTTAGTGCTCCGCCTCCGGGAGGGGGGGGGGGGATAGTTAGGAGATCCTACAAACTTACTTAAAAACATTTTGTTTTATTTGGTGTACCCCCTTTCTCTCCTCCCAATTATCCCCTCCCCTACCCACATTTAACCCTCCATGCCCCCCGGCAAACAAAAAAAAAACTATTGCGGGCCCCCAAACTGAGGGCCCAAATTAAGGGTCCTCAACCGAAACTATAATCGAATATAATGTTACTGCAGGGGCGGCTCAAGGATTTTCTCGAAGGGGATAGGTGACAAATGTGTAAAAAAACAGGCCAAAACGCCGTTTTTGGGATTTTGAGAAAATTATGACCAAAAAAATTGCGTTTTTAAGTGCGTGCTCCCTTTAAGAATTAGCGTATTTTGAAAAATTTAGGGTTTGTCGGTCGAAAATGGATATCATAAAAGATACCAAAAGAGGGACTCTTTGGTTGGTGAGGGGGTCGAATCCCTGTAATAGTCGGACTTTTGTTGATAATTAATTCAATTAGAATTTAAAAAAATTAGCCAATACAATTTCAAAAAAAAGTTTAGAATTTTGTTAGCTAACAGACTGCAAAATTTTGAGGCATTTTTTATCCAATCAAAATGAGTCTTAATTTAGTGAAGAGTTTTCTATTTTAATCTAATTAAAACCGGAGGTATTTAGTTTTTTTTTCGGCTATCCGGGAAAGCGGCTCCGTGGGTACGCACCACAACCATCATGTTAAGAAGTTGGCCAATCACAGTTGACCTAAAAAATAACCAATTAGATTAAGGACTACCTTAGCCATCAACACTAATTAAAAGGAATTTAACTAGTTTGTCGGGAAAATTCTGGGACATAATTTCGATTTAGAACAAAAAAAACCACAAATGTTTAGGGGCTACAATTTCAGTTGAAAGTTTCTGAGTCATTTACGTTTTAAATAAAAAAACCAAAAATATTTTAGGACTAAGTTTTCAGTGTTTACTCCCTGCTCCTGAATTCATCGCGCGTTCTCAAGCCGGGTTTCTTTCTCCTGATATGTATTGCCTCTAGTGTAAACAATTTTGTTTGATTGTTTGACCTATTTATAATTTCCCAACTAAGATCTGCGCTATTTCCCTCAAAACTGCCTTGCTGAGGGTGGAGGCCTACCAGGGAGTCTGCGTTCTTATGTTCCTCAATTCTAGTGGTCACAAGTCGAACAGTTTGTCCGACAAAGGCGGAAGTGCATCCACTATATGTAATTTCAATACATTTGTAAATTAAAAAAATAGATTGGTTATATTTGAAAATCCAACATAGACAATTCGTTCTGTGTTATAATAGAGATTACTCATATAATTAAAGTTTAAAAATCACGTTTGACTTGAGGTCATTAGAAAATGCTGACTTCAGTGATGGTAAACAGGAATCTAGTTTTCTTGTGGTGAAGTCCACTTGAAGGTTGGTTAAATTTTGTAATCTGCTTGCAAATTTAGGGCTTTGATTACCTCTATACTGCACCATCAGCCTAGGGGCTTCACATCCTTTGGTGATTGAGTTGACAAACTTCTCTCACTATCCAGGGGCTTGCGCTTATCCTCGATAGTTTTTTACAGAGTTTCTGAGTTTTTTCTATGTTTGAATGTTGTCTATAAGCTTGTCTCAACTTGACGCGTCATGAAGCCGAAAATGGATGCCCACCACTATTCGTCGATTTCCTTTTGCACCAGCGATCGGGTTTTCACTAACATCTCTTCCTACCTTTTCCTGTCCTCATTTGCCCTAAACGTTTTAGTCCTAAGTAGCTTCAGTTGAAAATTATGCACAGCTTGGTCCTAAAAAATCGTTTTCGGGGACCCTAGCACAGTATAAGATCGTTTTTCAGACATTTTCTCAGAAACTTCAGTCTGTGTACATATACTTGAATTTTTTAAAGTCTCTTAAATAACTTCTCTTCTCGCGTGCTCAGTTACAAAGTAAGGAAATTTTGGAAAGAAAATTCGAACGTTTTTGGAACTATGTCCGTGTTCAGGTTAAAATTTTTGTAACTAATCGATATGCAGATGTTGAAACATCATTAAAGACAATTAAATGTTACAAACAAAAAATATAATATTCATACCAATCAACTTTAAGCAATTTTAGATAAGAACTTCGGAACTTTACTTTTTTGGAATTTCTGAGATTTTTTTGTCCTAATAATTCTTTTTATCTAAATTTTCCATTTTCCAATTTTTTTTTGATATGTTAGCTTCACAACTATTTTCGAAGCCGAAACTGAAACTATTTTTGGAGTAAAATCTAAGCGTTAGCTCCCTACTCCTGAACTCTTATCGCGTGTTGATCCCTGGCCTCAGTTTCTTTATGTGGATTGCTTCCAATGTGAAAAGTTTCATTGCGTTGTTAGACTGATCTATTATCTCCAAACATAATTGTGCAGCGGTCGCTTACTCGCTAGATTGCAATGTGTGTATGCCTGCCTGTGTGTCTCTGGTGTGTCTACTTTCTTGTGTTACTCAACGCTTAGGGCAAAATTGATTTTAGTTCTGTCCCAAAATTTAGCTTGGGTTTCCCGATTCAATTTTGGATGATCCATCCTCTGATTAAGGATTTTTTTCTTCCATTGCTGTCTACTGATCAACATTGCTTTTTGGTTAAGTTCCATGTAGATGTGCTCCTAAAAACCCTGAGTCCCGTACCCTCTTTTGTTTCCTTTGTTCTGCAGTGGTGTGCAACTTCTGAAAATTAGAAGCCTGCCTGTTTCCGTCACTTTTTAGTAGGATCCACATCTAACCTGCTTGTTACCATCTGCATTTATAGTAACGTCTTAAAAAGCCACGTCACCATTTTCATTAGGTTTTTCAACTGTGAGCTGTAACTTAGAGAGTAAATTCTTGGCGGCCCAAAAAACATTTTCAGTGACAACTCCTGGCTTCTGCGTCCACTCGTTTGCGCGTATTTAAAACCAAATGCTTCGTTCTAATATATTTTGCATTGCCTCTGTTTTCAACGAATGAGTTTGATTGTTCGACCCATATATAGTTTATTCAATCAACATCAGCGCTATTTCCCACAAGTCTGCATTGCTGGAGTTAAAGTACAACCAGTCTAAAAAAATCTTCAAAACACCAGACTATCTCGGTTATTAAAAATTTCCCCAATCAGCATGGTTGCAGTATTGACATCCCTCGCATTCAAACCCCTCCAATATACATGTTAATTTCCTTCTACAACATAAATGGAAACCATTCAAATCATCCACTGGCTGTACCCCCGCCCCCGTCTTTTTCTTGTTTCAAGGCAAACTCTCACTCCTTCAGCCATAGATTTTCAAGAATTACCGCGAGGTATTCAATTATAACATGAATCATTACCTTGAAAATTATTTTGATGGCCGCCATTTTCTAAATGATTTTTTTGTGAATCTTTGAATTTCAGGCGGAGACTCGTGGCTGTACAGCATCTGTATGGATTATTCAATTGCTTCCTTTAGTAGACTTTTAGCGTATATACTTTTCATATCAAATAGTACTATAGTTTCATCCGGATCTAGACCAGTGTTTTCAGTTGTTACTTTGGCATCTTTATTGTTGATTTTGATATTGACTTCAATGATACTGTCTAAATGTTTTAAAAATTTTAAAAAACCATCCAATCAGAATGGCGCCGAAGTAACATATTGGTTATAAAAAAGATTTAAGTTTCAGATACATTCTTTGTTTTTTTTCAAAAATTTATTTTAAAGTCAAATTTTCGAATAACCT